ACTTAAAAATCTTTATGTTTGGATTTTGATGTAAACTGGGAAATTGGTATGGATGAAAATGGACTTATAGCTACCTTCATATTGTTAGGAATTTTTTCTTTTGCACTCATACAGACAGGAATCTTCAGTTCTCCTATATGTGGCATATTAATGTATATTTCATTTTTATGGTTACTTATTCTATTCTACTGATTCCCTGCTCAAAGTTGCTCTTTCTGTTTAATAAGAACCTGAAATTAAGTCGTGTTAACTGTCCAAAGGTAAACTTTTTGCGTGATTAATTACAGAAAGTATTCCAGAGTTAGGAAATGGACCGTTGGAATATCAGGTGGTAAAGACTTGATAGCTCTCATCCGAGCCTCGGGGAGTATTAGCCGTGTTGAGGGTCCATTAAGTGTTTCCGGCTCAGGGATAGTTGGGGAGAAGTTTATTGAGAAGATTCGCAGTGTCAGAGGTACGCTCAATATTTTAACTTCTCTAAGATTACAGAGAAGGCCAAGTAGAATTTGCTATAGATGTGAAATGTTAATGCTTGCCATGCTCCACTACACATTATAGTGATATAAACGTACGTACCAATATCATAAATATTCTCCTGTTTAGCACAATTATACACATCCTTACAAATGGATGTGAAGCAAAATATTACATTTCTATACTACAAAACTTGTTCAGATGTATGGTTTCCTCCCCAGCACTCGAGGCCTGAAAGTGGAGTATGTAAACTTTGTTATAACAACTTACGAGATTTCTCAACTCTCAGTCACTAAGGCAGAGAGATTCACCGGCTAGAGAAAATTTGAAGGAGACAAGTAAACACATATAATTCCGTACATAATAAATATATTTTTAGCAGAACTGCTCATTTTTTATGTTCAACCAAGTGGAATGTGGGGATTCAATTCCATTCATATGCATGCAACAGTAAGACTGTAACCAGGGGGGTTGCCAAGATCTTCATTGTTCATCTTTGGTGTGGTTTAACAAACCCGAAGCCTTTGACAGTATTCTTGCAGTTTATTCTCGCGAACTGGTTATAAAATGTCATAGTCTGCCTCCTGGTCACATGTGATGTTTTCTTGCTCCTCAGAGTCCAAAAAATATAAGGCTGCTATTATCCGAATTGACAGTCCTGGAGGTGATGCTCTTGCGTCTGATCTGTAAGTGCTGGTAAATTTCCCTCCAAGTTAATTTTATGTTTGAAAATAGCTCTGTAGATATGGGAATTGTAAGAAATTGTTGACTATTCGTTGACACTTTTAAGAGTTAATCATATCTTTAGTGATCTATCTAAATTTTAAATAAATCTCTCTTAAGGACTGGATTCTAAGTATTTTGTTGATTTTGCAATGAAGACAGGAGAGTGTGAGAAGGACAACCTGCTGGTTCAGCTAACATACTCTTGCGTCATGGTCTGCAGGATGTGGAGAGAAATCAGACTTTTGGCTGCTTCAAAACCAGTCATTGCTTCCATGTCTGATGTGGCAGCAAGTGGAGGATATTATATGGCAATGGCAGCGGGAACTATTGTTGCAGAAAGCCTTACTTTAACTGGTTCGATTGGAGTGGTTACAGGTGAGCCTAGTGCTTTGATAGGGAAAGAATTGGGGCATGGAAATCGGATAACTTAACTAAATCTAACACTAATATTGTTGATCTTGTTCAAATAAGTGAAAATATGGAGAACCAAAGGAAACGTTGTGCAAAGTTTCCTACGAACAACATGCACGTTAAAAATGATAAATAGATGAGGAACTTACATATACGCATTTGGAAGTCTACATTGGTATTGCCCAATGTGGGACTTTTTTTTTACGGCCCACACCCCCCCCCAGAGAGAGAGAGAGAGAGAGAGAGAGAGAAACCAAAACCCCACGCCCACACACTCTAATTCTCTATGCACATGGCACTGCGTGTTTTATTTTACGCATTAAGAAAGAGAAGACGAAATAAAGGCATGATATATATTGAACTACTAAACCCCTCATAAAATGGGAATTAGCATCCTCTGCATTCTATTTTTGACCTAAAAGCCATTTATTTCTTTGAAAAATGCAATAGCATTTGGGTAATTTTCTTAAAAATGAATTTCGTGGGAAAAAAAAATTAAAATGTCTTCCGTATCGTATGTGCAATTTATAATCTGTTGCTCTGATTACATTTTCTTATAGGAAAATTCAACCTGGGTAAACTGTACGAGAAGATTGGATTTAATAAAGAAATCATATCAAGGGGAAGATATGCCGAGATACTTGCTGCAGAACAACGCCCTTTTAGGTAATATGACCTGGTAAAAATTCTTGTGGAGGAGAGAATATTAACCAGCATACCATGCCAAGTTATTTGCTCGTATATGATGAATGTGGGGTGGAGAAATATTTTTATCTCATCTTCATTTGCTTGTGCAGAACGGATGAAGCCGAGTTATTTGCCAAATCTGCACAGCATGCTTACAAGCAATTTCGAGATAAGGCAGCATTTTCCAGATCCATGACTGTATGTTTTGATTATCATTCTAGTTCTCCGCTTTCTTTTCTTCCTCCCTATAGATAGATTCAAGTGAAAGCTACTATTTTTTGTCAATAGGTAGATAAGATGGAGCAGGTTGCACAGGGGAGAGTTTGGACTGGTAAAGATGCAGCTGCGCATGGTTTGGTTGATGCTATCGGTGGCCTTTCTCGTGCAATTGCCATAGCAAAATCGAGGGCCAACATACCTGAAGACAAACAGGTTTATTTGGAAATGCCTTTTTAGTGGCCAATGTGTATATATGGTTATATGTTGAAAATAATGAGTTTTCATGGTGATTCTGTAATTGTGGGGGACATGCCAGGTTACAATCGTGGAGCTCTCAAGAGCCAGCCCTTCCCTACCAGAGATTTTAAGTGGCATTGGGAGCACCCTAGCCGGAGTAGACAGAACATTGAAGGAGCTGTCACAAAGCTTGACACTTTCTGACGGGGTTCAAGCCCGGATGGATGGAATCATGTTTGAGAGGTTGGAAGGATATCCTTATGCCAATCCCATATTGACATTGATAAAAGATTACCTTAGTTCCCTGTAGCCCTTGTTGATAATTTATTACATCAATATTTATTCTCATATCTCTTTTTCGTCCAAAGAAGGAGATGACTTAGGGTGTTCCTCTTCAACACTCACTGTTGCCCATCGTTGTACTTGTCCAGTTATCCTCTTAGTCGTCTTCCCCAAATGCCAATCCTTGTATAAGCATATAGCATCAGGTCAAAAAAATTATGCGTACAGCAAATTTCCTTGAATCCATGTTGCAATAAATAAATAAATATATAAGTATATTATATTATATTTTCCGAATGAAATACATGTTGCTTTATTTCCTTGATAATTCCTGATTATTTATGAGTATTCCGGCAACTGATGCTCTCTTCAGCTCAGATTACGAAACCGTGGGTTGATGATAAAGTAAAATAACCATGAAAGATAAGGAGCATGTTTGCAGAATAATTTGTAAGATTATTTTAATGAATGATAAAACTATCAATTTTAATAATATTATATGAATTAAATTTATGTTAATAAAAGTATTATATGAATAATAAATTTTAGGAATTAAATGCGTTTATATTTTTCAATTTAAAGTAGTTAAATTTCCAATAAAATTAAATAATATGTAATTTGAACTCTTCGAAAATTTTATCTTTTAACATGGCTGTGACTGAATTTCTTTCTTCTTCTTTTTTAAACTGTATAACATATAGAAGATTTAAAATAATATGTAATTTTAATTTTGTCTCTTAATTTTAAAAAACATATTTTTAATCCTTTAACTTTAAATTATTGGTCACGAATGAATAATGATGGGTTTTTTTTATAAGAATCCTGATTGTTTTTAAAATTAAAGTTAATATGTTAGCATCTAAGAATGTTTTATTAATATTCAGATCTCAATATCATTATTTTTTTTAACTATTTTAAAATAAAAAACTAAAAATATATTTTTTTAAAATTAAAAAAATAAATTAAACCTTATATAAAATTAAAAAATCAAAAGTAGACTTTAGCCGGAAAAAAAAAGGAAAGAAAGAAAGATCATCATTGTCCACCAAAAAAAAAAGGCCGCGGAGTCGGGAAGAAAAACTCGTAAAATTCCAACAGCGGACAACCACAACACGGGAAATCAATTACAGAGGCTGCAAGTGGCTTCCATGGCGCCACCATTGTCATGTCATCTCGCCCAAAAGGTTCCCATTCTTCCCAAAATCACTTCTAATATCAAATAACATCCTTTTCGCTCTACTTTGATCTTATTTGTCTTTTACCGTTCAAAATCAGAGCACACCATAGGATGGGTAAGTTGGCGTATAAACCCCAAAACGCTGAGAGTTACAGAAGGAAAAAAGAGAACAAAAAAGAAAAGACAATCTGCTTTTTTCATGATTTCAAGCACAAAGATGCATTATAACTTGAGACGGGAATTCAGAACATAATTTTTGAAATGAAGCTCTTCAGTGTTACATATTAAAGCCTTTCCTTCACAAATGCTCTGGTGAGATCTCTTGTACACACAAACACCGTCGTCTGGAGAATTTCAGAAAAGACAGATAAGATCAGATTTCATCATGGATCCCAGGTAGATCCCTCTCACGAAAGTTAGTCTATGAAAAACACACGAGGCCTCATTCTAGGTGACTATCTCATGCATGCCTTGGATAAATGAGACACGCTCACTTCAATAATCTCATAAAAATGGGCATGAAGCATGGTGACTGATATGTTTGACGAAGAAATAGAAAACCTTTTTTAATTGTGTTAGGGTGTGTTGTTTCTCATTTCCATTAACTGACTTGCGAAATCAAACTATTTCGAGGATCAGACCCTTGATTTAATTGCAATATTATGAGTTTAGACAATAATATACGTAAAGCACACAACAAACATTTGCTATTAGAATTCAATCGCTTCTTCATCGTAATAAAGTTCAGTCCTATATCTTGGAAGTACCTTAATAGATGTCAATAGCACTATGCCTGCGAAACCTCGGCTACAGGGCCATTGGGGATTAGCAATTCGGAGAGGGCTTCTTGCAGAGAGGAAACCTTCTCCTTAAGCTGAACATTCTGCTGGAGCATTTGCTGATTACATTCCAGTAAGCCGATGATCTTTCGAGAGAGTTGATCATTCATAGTTTGCAGATCATTTACACGAAACTGAAGGGATTCTATTTGTTGCTTCTTCCGTATTCGCGATTTGCGCGCAGATTCTCTGTTAGAAAGCATTCTTCTTCTCTTCTGATCATCAACAATGGCTTTTACTTCATTGTTGTTACTGTGAAGGGATGCATCTGGAGAGGATTTGTGCCGTTGGATTTGATTCAGACTACTAGGAAGGTGATGAACTTGTGAGTAGTAAAGTGGAATGTAATGTGAGCTTTGAAATTGATCCAAATGAGCCAAAACATGGTACTCTTCCACTGTTTCCATGTTCAGAATGGGTTTCTCTGTTGCAGAAGCAAACTGGGGATGCTGGGTTGAGCTTGAACTAGGTATTCCATAGAGTTTCTCAGCTTCATGGCCCTCCATGTCCCAAAATCTCAAGGTTGGTGAGAGAGAGAAAATAAGAATATATTACCTGAGGTCTTCAAGACTAATCAGAGATGCAAATCTCAGAATATAAAAGATAAAATCTTTAATGTACCAAGTAGCTGAATTAAACAGAGGGGGCCCTTAAAGATATTTTTAGATAACAATATCACTTTCGTTGCAGCATTAGAAGACATTAGTGTTTCTTGGCATTCAAGTAACTTGAATTATGCCAAGTGCAGTAGTGCAACTTGCTTATGCAGAGGTGGAAAGTTAAGAATACGAGTAGGATCAATCGAGAGTAAAAGTAACATATATATATGTATATGTATTATGCTTGGAACAACTTTACTCTATTGAAATAATTCAATAATCAGGGGCGTATATGTATAATTGATATGCAAAAAGAGACAAGAAAGTAGATAATAAATGCAGCATTATCTTAATTAATCGCTCAAGGCACTGCCCTCGTCGTTTTCAGACGAAATAAGGCTAAAAAACGCGGTAAGATAGCAATAAGAGAAAGATGGCCAGGACCAGAATTAGCAAAATTCCATCCTTTAATTTGGGTAAAAAGTGGGCTGGCTTCTTTATTAGAGGTAGAGGACAGCAAACTGTAAATGAAACCATAATTGCACTTAACCAGTAAAAGACTAAAAGGTAGTAAAAGTTTTGTGTAGTTCAAAGGTGGGTGATGACAATGTTACGTAACTTGCACGCCATTATATCAGAGATTGGTGCGTGAAATATCTCAGCTTGAGGCCTTCAATAGGTCCCTGACAAAACGCGCACACGTATGCAATACTCCTTAGTTATTACATATCCATTTGTTTTTATTATAAGTAATTTGTAACTCATTTTTATATATCAACAAATTTATCAGACAGATAAAACTTCTCAAATTTACTCTTATTGAAGGTTTTTTCTCCCTTTGCATTTACAAATCGTTTTCACCTCCCTCTCTTCTTTAAATCTTTCCAACAAGAATTAAGTAAGAGTAAAATTAAAAAATAATAATTAAATATCTTATAAGTAACTTATATTTAGAATCAAGAATTTTCTTTACGAATAATTTATAATAAGAACCAAAGTAGTACACACATCGGAAATGTTAAATCAAAAGCCCAAATCCGCAGTTGTGTAGAGACCCTAAATGCACAGTAAATAACAAGCATCTGAGACGTGGATTTTGAAATTAGCTATGATTGAATTAAAATTCAAATGATGAACTGCTCAACAAGGGATATGATCTTCCTTCTCAATAAACGGACCAAGCATCATTTTAATCATAAGCGGTGGAGTAGTAGTAATAATAATAATAATAATCATCAATAAGATAGTGAGATACGAAAATTCATGCTGCCACGGATTTAAGCACCTGTTTGATGTAAGAAGAAATGCTCCTACTACTTTTTGATTAAGAAATAGGTAAGATATATATAATAGCTATCATATTTTTAAAATCTGCTAGGATCATTATCGTCAGTGTTAAAATTTAATATTTGGCAGACCAAGAATGTTTTTATTTGAAAAAACAGAAACTCTCAGACACTGTTCAGATTTGTCATAGAATTGTAATAGAACAAAATGCACTAGTTATACATTGTAAAATAATAGAACTTATTCTTCGAATCTAAATAATGCACAGGAAACTTGTATAGTCTATAGACTATAGCCACGTGGGATAAAAAGGCGAAGAGATGTCGGATAAAAAGGGCTATGGGTGGGGCGCCGTCTGACAAATGTCTCCATTAACCTTTTTTCCCGCTTATTATCACTGTCATTATGTTAACACTCAATGACTGAAGTCTACATTTACGAAATATTTAAATCAAATTTTAAATATTTATTTATTGCAATTCTAATTTATTCAAGATTTAGGTTGATATAATCTTTGATCTTTCAAAGCTTATTCTTATTTTGGTTTTGGTTTCTCAAGTTTCAAGTTATAGATTTTGGTCCCTCAAAGGACAAAATGATAATGATCTAAGTTTTTATTGGATTATAGGATCAATATTATAAATAAAAAGAAACTTAAGAAATCAAAATTTATGATTTAAAACTTGAGAGAACAAAACTAAAATCAAGACAAACTAAATGGACTAAAGTTTATATTAACCCTAAATTTTTAAATATTTAAATTTATTTATATATAATTTTTATTTAATATTATAATATGGTTATGGATCTGAAATTTAAGTGTTTGTTTGAATCAGCGATTGATAAACACTTTTGAACATTTTAACGTAAACCGTTATAAATTTTTTTTCCATATTTTATAAACCATGACAAAAGGATTACTCATTTAATATCAGAAAGGAAGTGGAAACTTTGTAGTCCCCTGGCCTTATCGGACGTAAAGCTACTTCCATAGTTCATGCCTATAATATTTATATTTTTTAAGAGGAGTTTGAATTAGTTTTTTAAAAATAATTTTATGACGTTAAAGATAAAAAAATCACAATTAAATATTCTAGAATTTGAAAAACACGTATAGAGACATATGACAATTTTACTATAATTTTTTATAATAATAATATATCATAAAGTTATGAAATCCACAATAAAATTGTCATGGCTTTTGAAATGCGTTTTTCAAATTTTAAGGTTTTTTTTATGATTTCTCCTAAGATAAATGTATAAAAAAATTTATTTTAATTGGTTGTGGGTCCTCCAATTACTTTCGTCCTGCTTTCGCTTTCGGAAGGGAGTCATGGATGATGTAATAAGTCAACATAAAGATATTAAAAAATAGAGATGGCGTCAGGAGTGACGTGGGAAGCCCCCCAGAAAGAACAAAAAGGTTCCAAAAGGAGTCGCAGCTCTGCTTTCCAATTTCCGTCACTCCCTTCTTATTCATAATTTCATACTTCCCCTCAATTCAAGCTGTCCTCATCTTCCTCCTTCTACTGCATCATCACCATGACTCCTTCACGCAAACCCCTCCATGTCCTTGCCTATCCATTCCCTTCTTCCGGCCACATTATACCTCTCCTTGATCTCGCTAAACGCATCGTTTCTCGCCGCGTCTACGTCACCGTTTTGATCACCCCTCCCAACCTCCCTCTGCTCCAACCTCTTCTTCTTTCTCACGCTCCTTTTCTTCAACCCCTCCTCCTCCCCGATCCTCACCAGAAGCGCCTCTTCCCTCTCGTCTCCTCCATGCGCCACCTTCACCACCCCTTCCTTCTTTCCTGGGTTCAATCCCATCCTTCCCCTCCCGTCGCCATCATTTCCGATTTCTTCCTCGGCTGGACCCGCCACCTTGCCCGTGACCTCTCTATTCCTCGTCTCGTCTTCTCTCCTTCCGGCGCCTTCGCCCTGTCCTTCTCCTACTCTCTCTGGCGCCATCTCCCCGTCAATCCAGACCCGGGCAGTGCCACCTCTCTTATTTCCTTCTCTAACATTCCCAACTCTCCGGTATACCCTTGGTGGCAAATCAATCGTCACTATAGGGAGAACAAGAAAGGAGACCCGGAATGGGATTTTCACAGGGAAAATATGCTGGACAACATAGCTAGCTGGGGTATCGTGTTCAACACATTCTCTGAATTGGAGCAAGTTTACCTGAATCACATGAAGACCGACCTCGGGCACGACCGTGTGTGGGCGGTCGGTCCCGTTTTGCCGCCCAGGGATGGCGACGACGGGGGCTCCGCCGACCGAGGAGGCTCCAGCTCCGTCCCGTGTCACGATTTGATGACGTGGCTCGACTCTCGCCCCGACTGTTCCGTGATCTATGTCTGCTTCGGAAGCCGCACTGTTTTGACCAGCAGCCAAATGGAGGTGCTGACCACCGCATTGGAAGTGAGTGGGGTCCAGTTCATTCTGTCCGTGAGGGGCCCAGACGAGAGACACGTGGGGCAAGACGTCGGCGTCATCTCGGAGGACTTCGAGGAAAGAGTGAGAGGAAGGGGTTTGGTGATCAGAGGGTGGTCGCCACAGCTCGCCATATTGGGTCACAGAGCCGTGGGTTCGTTCCTGACGCACTGTGGGTGGAACTCGGTGCTGGAAGGGCTAGTCCCCGGAGTAGTGATGGTGACGTGGCCGATGGGTGCAGACCAGTACACGAATGCGAAGCTGATAGTGGATGAACTGGGTGCGGGACTTCGAGCCGCCGAGGGGATAACGGAAAACGTTCCTGAGGCGACGGAGCTGAGTGAGGTGATAAAGAGATCGTTGCAAGAAAATAGCACGCAGAGAGCACGAGCGAAAGAGCTAAAGAAAGCGGCTTTAGAAGCGGTGGCACCAGAAGGAAGCTCCCAGAAAGAGTTGGATGCTTTGGTGAAGCACTTTTTCGAGCTTGGCGATCTTTGAACGCTTTCAATAGCTCCTTTTTCATGTTTCCTGTGAGATGCTAATTGTGTTTATGAAGCTGATCGTCGCTCTGGATGATTGTAATTGTAACTGTATGAGTATTCATTTGTGTAGTGGAGTAGTCATGGTGAAGTGGCATGCCAACAGGGAAAGGCTTACTTTCTACTCCAAATTCTACAGCAGTTCTACTAGAAGAGAGGACATTTCTTAATCAAGACAGCACATCATGGTTTATATTTCTTGCCCACCAGAGTTATTTGCTTTGCTGTTGTCCCACACGTAAGCTAATACGTCAGCTAATAGTTTGTCGGCCCACCCGTGAGCTGATATCTACCCGTTATTAATATAAAATTCAGTTCATTAATTTGAAGAAATAAAAAAATTACTAAATTATTTAAATTATTTAAAGCATTTGTATTTATTATTTTTAAATTAATTTACCTCACTTATAAATTAATATATAAGTAGTTTAGTTTTTAATAATTTTCTTATATTAATCAGCTGGATCTTATATTAAGAGCTGTGTTTAACTAAGAGGGAAAGTTAGTATAAAACACCCAAATGCAAACCCATTTATGATAAGGAAGATTGCATTACAGCTTAGCATCAATGTGTAGTTGAACCAAAGGGGCCCAAAGAAAGGGAGTCTTCACTCTCCAACTCCTCCACGCAGAAAGATCAGAAATTTGAGTATTCTTATCTCTCAGCTCATATATATATATGAGCAATGCAGTTTCAGTAAAGCCTGGATTAAGCGTAAACCAGAAATAATATACATATAAAAACATAAAGAAACAGAGGATCTTGGCACCCTAGGACACTTTACAAAAGCCCAAAATTAATGCCAACAACTTCGCTAGAGTCATCCCCAGAGTTTGATGCCTACATCATCATTCATAGATTTTTTTTCCGGCAGAAAAAACCAAACCAAATACTAAATCGATTGTGACAGTAGTTCGAACGTCAATTGGCCAGACAAGAATCAATTCGAAGCCAGACCGGTCATATTAAAATAAAATAATTTAATTAAAAATAAAAAATACAACAATATTAATAATTACTAATTGTTATGAATATTATGTGGATGTCTATTTATCCATTCCTCTTTATTTTCTCCAAATAACTTCCACTACCTCCACCATCTATTACTTCTCCATTATCCATTACTCTTCCACTATCCATTCACTCTTGTAACTCACCTCTATTCACATTCATGGGATTGATTATCCACTATTTGTCATTTAAAGACAATTGTAAGACTATACCTATTAATAGGGCATGTTATTTGTATTGTAGTGCAAGTAAAGAAATACAAAAATTCTCTCATTCTCTTGTCTTCATCTTTCTCTATTTTACTTTTGTGGTTTCATTTTAGATCCATTTCATAACACTAATAACAAAATATAAGGAAATATAAGAATAGTTTGATTGTGACAATAAAAAAGTGCAATAATATTGAGAATTTTGATATTTACAATACTTCAATAACTAAAATTAATAATAATTGATACTAAAATCATTATTAAAATTCATTCTAATTTATAGTGATTAAAATATTAAGAGCTGAATTAAAAAAAAAAAACCAATAGCAACATAATTGCTCAAACAAGTTCATTACTAGTTTTCACTGATTTGACCTATTCGACATTGGTTCAACTCTTGATCGGATCACTTGTCGGTTCATTAGTTTTCCAATTGAACTGGCCGATTTGGTCCAATTTTTTGTTTTATGATTTTTTTAAATAGCGTAGATGGATTGATGTGCATAAACAAAGAATAACACCGTGTCATAAATTCCTACAATAATAAAATCTCGAGGACAAGATATGTTTTGTTTTGGTTTTTTGTTTTTTAAATTTCCCAGCTAACTAAGGTCTCTCCAGAGTGATATAATCAATAAAAATAAGTTGGTCTTACAACATCTATAATGGCGAGATAATGTTAATAATTAATATGTATAATATATCATTGATTTAAAATATGTATGTAGTTCGCTGGCAAAAAAAAAAAAAAACATGCATGTAGTTCGCGTTGGGATTGAAAAAAAGAATATGTAAATTCCGACTAAATCAAGACATCGTCAAAAGAATCCCATTTTTTATCTGACATTTTTGGTGTTTATGTTACGTTGTTGTTGTTGTTTTTTTTTTTTGGTAACAAAGAGGACCAAAGCCCAAAAGGAAAAAAACTAGAATAAATGGGGACTAGCTCCCAGTTTCACAGCTTCCACAATTGCCCTTAGATCATCAAATAAGGAGGATTCAGATAACCCTTTCTTGGCTAGTGCATCAGCAACTCCATTACTTTCTCTGGGAGTTCTTTGCAGCTTTACCTTCCAGTTGTATTTAAGCATACTTTGAATTTCTCTGATCATCAGATTGCTCGTGTTGCAAGAATTTTTTTTCTAATAATAAGTCTATAACATTTTTTGCATCTGACTCAAGCATAATCTGTCTGAATCCAAATTGCCAAGCTATGTTTAGGCCTTTATAAATAGCCCATTCCTCAGCCTCTTGTACATTGCATTTTCCGATCTTATAGGTAAAACCAACTATCCAGTTGCCATTATGATCTCTAAAGACCCCTCCACATCCGGCCTTGCAAGAGTTTTTGACCATTGCACCATCAACGTTGATTTGGATCCATCCAAGTGAAGGGGGAGTCCATTTCGAATTCAAGTTGACAGGGTCTTGCTCCACTGCTTGGTGATGAACTTGCTGCAAAGTATAATTCTGCCATATATTAAGGATTACACTTGCTGGATCATGAGGCTTCTCATAATTTTCAGAAAAGATAGCTTCATTTCTCCAACTCCATAGTTTCCAAACAGCCACTCCCCATAAGCATTCCTAGTTATCAGGTCCAAATTTGCTAAAATCATTAGACAGATTAGCAGCAATCCAGTCTTTCAGAGCAAGGTTAAAGAAAGAGTCCCAGTACATATGGTTTAAAATACTTATCCACAGGGATTTGGCATAAACACAATCGCTCAAGATATGCAAGAGATTTTCAGTTCCCTCATTACAATAGGTACATACTGGAGATGTCTGCCACCAGGTGCTTCTCCAGGCATTTGTAGGAAGTCTGTCATTAAAAGCACGCCAAAGAAACACTCGGATTCTTTCTGCTCCTTTCCACTTCCAGATGCGTTTATATATAGGACTATAAAGAGAGATAGGATTTTCCTCCAGCAGGAAGTAGGCGCTCTTGATGCTGAATTGACCATCACCCGTAGCATTCCAAATTAAAGTATCATTTCCAGCTTCTTCATTAGGAGGTAAACGACTGGCGGGGTGCTGAAGAGCATCTGTGTTAATTATTTTTTCAAGTCTTTTAAAGTCCCAACTTCCATTTAGAGTCCAATCTACAACTGAGCTTTCAGTTTCTTCACTTGTAATCTCCCTCAAACACATATTTTTAATTTTCTGGTTTGCAAAAAGCCAGTTGTCATTGAAGAAGTTTATGAGTTTTCCATTCCGCAGTTGCCATTTGGTACCTTCTGTTACGTTGTTGTTGCGGTCGATAAAGGATGGCTTTCATCATAATCATCAGCAGTATTATGTTGGGCTGATCCGAATGCAAGGAATTTGGGCCTATTGAAACTAGTATAGGGCATTGAAGAAAAACGAACTGGGCCAATCTGACACTTGTGAATTGTCCATTATCCTCTTCCATTACCGTTTTGCTGGAATTTCCGCCGCTCCAGTTATTCAGCTTCGAAGGACCTTAAAAAAACAAAAGGGGGCAAAAAAATGCATTCTCTGGTCTTGCGCTTCTGCTTGTTCGTACCTTGGTTGAAGCGATAACGGAATAACTGGTTCTTTTGAGGACCGCCTCGGAGCTCAGCTCACACGACAATGTCGTTTGTTCCGAGCTCCCCGAATAAACGGCTCAAAATCCAAGACCAGGAGGAATCCGATCATCACCTCGACTTGCCACCTTCGTTCGAGGATGACCAACCTGATTCTTGTGGAATTTGCTACGCCGATCATGCCACCTCAATCAGAGGTGAAATTGATTGTTGCAATCATTTTTTTTGCTTCGTCTGCATCATGGAATGGTCCAAGCATGAGTCTCGATGCCCCCTCTGTCGGCAAAGATTCTCCACCGTTCGTCGCCCCCCTAAGCCCGGCGTCTTCCTCTCCTCGCGTCTTGTTAGAGTCCCTATTCGTGACCAGGTCTCACACCTTCCTTGAGTGTCCCCCCCCCCCACCCCTCTTTTTAATTGCCAATTTCTTTCCATTTTATCCCCGTATTAAGTTTTTCCCAATTTATTCTGTTGGCGACAAGTTTGGTTGTGTTAATTTAGTTATTGCTTGTTGTCTACGGATTTTCTGCTATGCTTTTATTGCATCATGTTGATGATTTTTGCTATATTGTGTGTTAAATTTAACTTAACAAATATTAGAATGCTAAACTTTAGTCTCTTGTAGGTTTACCATGTTCATGGAAATATCACAACAGGTCCTGCGGATCCTTATGCTGAAACTAGGTGTAGTGTCTGTAACGGCGAGGAAGATGAAAGTTTTCTTCTACTATGTGATCTTTGTGATACTGCTTCTCATACATATTGTGTTGGCCTTGGATATGTTGTGCCCGAAGGTGATTGGTTTTGTCAAGATTGTACTGTTTCCAGGGCAATTAATGACAATAACGATGTAGACCATCAATGTGACATACCGACAGCTGAGTCAAGTGTAACAATCCTTGATATTGTGAGAGAGCCAAACAGCCAGAGGGTCCAAAGGTCAAGACCGTCTCCTCTTGTTACCCCTTTACCTTATAGGGCGCATAGAAACAAAGATAGAAATCATGACATAAGTTTTACCCCTTTACCTGACAGGGTGAATAGAAACAAAGATATAAGTCGTGACTTGAGTGCCCGCACATTGCGCCGATGTCGCAATGTGCAACGTAATATACGAGCTTTTCGTGAAAACTGGAATGCCTTGAGAAATGGTTCATTAAGGTTCTCTTCCGATTCGTCTGAATCTGGTGTTAGACATGGTAAACAGCAGAACACTTATTCCTTATCTCATGGAAAGTCATATCAAATGCATTCTTCGGCTTCCATGAGCCATCAGCAATCTACAATTCATGGTAGCCCTTCTAATAACAAATTGAATGAGGGAGACTCAGAAGATGTCAACAAGGCTTGGAAAATGCTGGAGAGAGCAAAGATGATGGGAAAGACTCATCATAAAGGCAGCATTTTTCCACAGGGATTACTTGTAGGACCTAGAAAAGCACCAAGAATTCATTGTAATGATCAAGAATTGAAACTTCATTCATGTGGAAGATCCACAGGAAATGAGAAGCGATGCAGCTTTTCTAGTTTTAATAAGGATATGGACAATCGCTGGCCTCTAGAGTTGGGAGGGAAAAAGCATAGTGGGGTCACGCATAAGGGGACAACAAATATTAAGGACCAAGCTTCTCATTTGGAAGAATGCTATGAGCCTTCATTGCCTAGAAAAGCGCTGAGTAGCATTCTATGTGCTCCCCATCGTGAAAATGGGGAGAGAAATTTTGCAAAGGAACAAAGTAGTTCTTCTTGGGTAGTAACTTCAGTGGGTTCTGCTCCTTCTGATGGCAAGTTTGGTAGTGCGTCTTCGTCAAGCAGGGATGCAGGTGAAAAAAAGCGGTTGTCTAAAAAAACTGGGGATGCAAACTCGCAAGAAAGTGAAGATGCTAAAAACGAGATCAAGTCTCTTGTCAAGCTCAATCTGAAAGTCCTCAGTAAAGATAAACGATTAGGTATTTTTTTTCCTTTTGATCTTTCTAACAGGCACACATCATTGCTGATTGAAAACTTTACATAATTTCATCTGCATACCAAAGCAGTAGCTGGAGCAAACCGTGGTCTAAGTTTTGCTGGACTGCTGTGCTAGTTTTCATATGCTGCCACTTCCTTGTTTCTTTTGTTATTGATTTACTTCACATAACTTATCTCTTAGGCCCTTCATACCATATGTGTGTTATAAAGCGTTGATGCAATGGAATGACAAACGTGACTTCCTTAAATTAGAGCAACACATTGAAGAAGACATTGGTGATGCAGGTGCTGATGCATTCAAGGAAATTGCCAGGCACTCAACCCACACCATCTTGGCCGCTTGTCGATTGGAGCATGAAAAGCTGGGCGTAAGCTCCTCGAGCTCTTTATGCAGTCATAGGGGTGATAATGAGCGTTTTCACAAGTCCACCTTAATGCCTAATTGTTGCCGACAATGTTTTTACATGTTTGTCAAGAATGTGGTCAACTCCACTATGATGGAGAAGGTGGGTGGGGGTGGATCTTCCTGAGGTAATCTGATTGTGAGGCTTATTGTTTGCCAATCTCCTGGCAACGCTAGGAGAAATTCTGTAACTCTTAATGTGTATACGTAATGATCGTGTTCTAGTCTTGGGTAAATTAACATGTCTCATAAGTCACAAGTAGAAGTTGAATCTCAACTGGGCCCTATGCAGCTATTGAAATCTCTTCCCCCCCCCCCCCCCGGGGGACTCAGGTATTAAACTTGAGCTACTTTATAGGCCATAGCTCAAGCAACTGCACCAGCAAATCTGTTGTTTAAAACCCAAAAAGAAAAAGAAAAATGGTTAAAGTTGAAATTCGCTCCGTAATTATATTGAACTCTAAGCTAAGCAAGCTCCGGGAAGTTGAGCTAGGTTGAGGAACGTGAAGAAGTTTACATTTAGACGTGGCAAAGAGCCTCCAATTCTGTTAATATCGTAATTTTTCTCGGGCCTAACTTCTCTGACCCAATCTTCAGCCATGGGTTCCGTAAACGGAGGCCCAACTCGGGCAATGTAATAGAAACTGAGTATGTTGGGTTCAATAATGCTGCACTGCTTAATATATTTTGTGTTTAATTTTTTTTTTTTGCCAACACTTTTGTGTCTAATTTTATATTGAAAGAAGGTAGGTCTTTTTGGGTGAAATGAAAGTAAGTTATTAGTACATGTGCATTGACAAATATTTGTGGCAAGGGTGCGGGAAATTAAACGAAGGTGTAAGAAGGAGATGTTGCATGATGTTGGCGGAGGCTGCTCTTACCCATTTGGAGAGTGGGGGGGTATGGTATGCTGGTATGGGACGGTTGGGGGCGGTGGTGGGGTCACGTAGGAAGGGGGCACGTGAGGGAGCCACGTCAGGAAAAAAGAGGAAAAGAAGGGAGGGGGCCCAGTGGGTAGCAGATTTTTGAATGACCCATGAAGGACAGGTCAGGAGAGAGGGGAAAGCACATGCCCCCACTGAGTTTTATTTTTAAGGGAGTGGGCCCAGTACTCACCCCCACGTGACAACTTCACGAGGGCGAAAGCGACACGCACCGCCATCCACCCAGCACCTACTCTAATGGCACGTGCCTTCACATCCATTCCCTTCTTCCTATTCCCCCACCACTCTTTTTCCTCCACAACCCTTCCTCAATCAAATTAATAATATCTTCCCATCAAAATATCAAATATTTCTCCTATTTATGCCACTCCCCTCCTGTCAAATTCTCCCCAACCTTTTTTTTAAAAATATATATATCTGGGTGATCATAAACAAACAAATGTTGGTGAGAGAGTGATAATAACAACAAATAACATTTTAGACCACCTTTTCCTTTTGCGGAGGCCCATTTGTTTGCCAACGCATTGTCAAATATAAATCACTTTATTGTGTGTGTATATATATGTATATATAGGCACCAGATGGCCACAGCTTCCTCCAATTTCGGCCTTTTTTAATATGAATAATATAAGTGCCTGGTTCGGACTAAGGCATCCATGTGTATTTTGCATAAACTAATAAATCTCCCATCACTTTAAAAAACTGTTATGTGAAGGATCCAATTATAAGCGTTTGTTTGTGAGGCGTGTCGTCTTTTTTTTTCCTTTTTTTTTTTGGGGACAAGATGGCGTATCTTCTTAATAAAAAAAAGGGGGGGAATAAATAAATTTGATGTGGGAAATCTAATTGTGGAATTAATTTGTGAAAGAAAATGAGAAGGAATGAATAAATGGTGGGAGAGAAGCAACAGGGGGAGAAAGGATGGTGGGGGCAGGAAAGGAGACGTAACGGGGCCGGAGGAGGGAAGGCACGCGAGGCGGCAGGGAATGGGCGCACGTGAGGGGATGCGTCCCCGGTCACGTGCGCTTCGTAACATGCTCACGTCTACATAACAGACTCTCTCTCATACATCCTTATTCACCCGTTTCTGGGTGGGTCCCCGTTTCACGTCATTTTGTTCATAAAGACGATTCCTTATTGCGTCCCTCCTCACATGCCCCCCTCCCTCTACTCACCCCCTCCCTATTTTTTATGATCTGGCTATATTAATTGAAAACAGGTTTATTACTTTTTTTGCCTAAATTTTCTGGGTCGAATATTACAGTGAGTGAGTCCTTAATTTAATTTGTGATCCGTTTTGTGGAGCGAAGTGTTTGGTTTTGAGTTTTTGCTTAATGAGGAGTTGCTTTTGGGAATGGTTGCTTAATTAATAAAAACTTGAAAGGAAGCGGGGCAGAGGGGGATGACCCAATATTGGCGGGGCCCAGCAGAAGGTTTGGTGAGTTGGCCACGTGAACCCCAGAAGGTGCGCAACCCCGCTTTTTTGGTCACGTGATGCAATGCGGATTGGGCGGAGATTCTTACACGCGTCCCTCCCACTTATCACTCACGCCTCTTTATCCCCCCTCCTATTTTATTCATTGACTTAGCTTCCAGCAAGAAACAAACCTATCAATTTAATTTATAAATTCCAACGAATCACTTTCACTTGGACAAATCCCAGAGGAAAATAACCACAAGTTGATTCATATTTTAGTTAGTATTGTTAATTTTTTTTAACAATCATGTATTTTTTAAAATAAATGTAGTAAATTTTTGCTGATGACTATGCAGTTATTATTTTTATAAAAAAATATGATGATAAGGATATTAAAAAAATGCAGTAATAGGGAGAGGAGTGAATTAAAAAAATAGAAAGGATTAGGTGGGAAGAGAGAGTGAGGAAATTTTTTTTTTTTAAAAAAGAATTGTTAACTGATCCCTAAACAGATTCCTCAAAGAGAATGTCGATGCCTTGTTTCCCTGCTTGCCATTTTCTAACTCTGTCCTATTCCGCTATTTACGCTTCCCCCTCTTTCGCTTTTCCCCAAACGCCTTATCTTCCCTAAATCCTTTCCTGGATTACACAAAAATTCACTTTTTACATTTAAAAAAAGTTAATTAATATTTTTTTTATAATTTTTAATATAAAACTTAATTAAAATCATTAGATATGGAGAACTAGATGAGTAGATATAATAAATATAACACGTTTTTTTACTAAACATCCTACTTATTTTTCTCAATAGCATTCATCTCTATCTTACTTGATTATTATTAAAAGAATATCATTAAGAGTAATTTGAGGACCAAAGTTAACTCTTCAGTTAGGTCATCATACGTTAAAAACTAGAGGATTATTATTTTTTGAAATCACTTTGTTCTAAACTGATAAACGAATATAATCCTCCCATCTTTCTTTCTTACTAAGCAAGCCAACCAGCCAGCCGCTGCTTTAATGTTGTCGTTTCTACGTTAATCATGATAATAACAAGTCAATTTTTTCTAGAAAGTAAAGGTATCTCAGCATAAATTTGGGTATCAGAGTATGTGTTCGTACAAATCAATTGAGCTGTTTTGTGGGTGTATATGTATAGAACCCAATAATTCGACGAACAAACAACAAAACAGTAGAATAACAATAAAAGAGAAGCTAATGATTGGGATTTGCATTAGAAAAATAAGCAGCAATATATAATAGATGGACTAGTGCTCGAGAAAGTGCATTGCATTTGAATTGAGCGTCACGTTCTGCGCAGCATCTTTCTTATATTTTAAACGATTTAAAGAAGAAGGGATTTTGTAATCCGTATTAATGAATTAATTAGTAGAAATTAAATGTATAAAAGCAGAGGAAGCACACCCCGCGGGTGATACACTTTATTAGCCAGGCTAATTAATTCATTTTATTATAGCACTTTTGACACTGTTCTATGCGTTTCCAACTCTGTACATGAACCGATTTCCTCTCTCTTTCTTGTGTTCTGGAATCTTTGCTTTAATCTAATTGATTATATTTAACTAAACCCTCCCTCCTTCCCCTCTAATTTAATGTAGGACACTGGATTAGAATGATTAATTATGACTTTTCATGGATGTATCTTAATTGGAGGCAATACCACGGTGTGTGTGTGTGTGTGAACTAGCAATATACGCGTCTCTTGAACCTGTTCTCATTTATTTGAAGAATAATACTACCTACGGTCCTAATTATAAGAGCCAGTTAACTAATTTGAGGAGATTAAAGAAGTAAGTTAAATTAGTTATTTGTCCTAAATAGATGTTGTTTTTCCTAAAATATCCTTGCTAATCAAGTGTATTCACTAGAATTATAATTATTAGAAGGATTATCTTGAAAAAAATGAGTAAATATGAGAGACAAAGTGGATTATGGTCTTATATTTAGGACCAAAATAAAAGTCAAATAGGGTCTTATATTAAGGACTGAAGGTAGTAGTAATAAAATATCGTACGGTTAATCTGGTTGCTTTGAAGGGCGATAAAAACACTGTGGTGAAAAGAAAAGAATGAAAAGAGAACAAGAAGAACGACGCATATGTGTACGTATATATATATATTACCTTTAATTCTTAATATAAAAGTTTGTTTAGTTTTTATTTTGATTATAAATATAAGACCACAATCTATTTTGTCTCTTATATTTATTTGTTTTTTTAAGATAGTTATCGTAATAATAGTAGTTTTAACAAATATACTTAATTAGTAATGATACTTTAAGAAAAATAATACCTATTTATTACCAATAACTATCTTAATTAATTTTTTTAATCTACTCAAATTAGTCGGTTAACTCTTATATTAAAGATTGGAGGCAGTATAATGCAAGATCTTTGTGTTTTTGTTGTACTCATATTAGTTTTTAGGATTACATACATTTTACGTATGTATTTGTATAGTCAAACATTTGCAATCAATGTGTTGGGATTTGTTGTCGCGTATACATCACACTTGGACATAATTTTGGATCGAAACATTGCTTCAGGCTTTGATTTTATTAAACAACATTAATTTGAAGGTTTCAAATCGTGCATTCACAAGTCACAGCTGTTCCAGTTTCAGCTCAGCTCACAGAAATATTAATGGCTAATGCTACCTTTTATTAACACGGGTGTTAATGGGCTCTATATTCCATTTATGCATTCTTTTATTTTAAAAAAAAGTTTAGTCTATTCTGAATGACTTGTATTTAATATTTCGTATACGGTTAACATAAAAGAGTGATGCTGATATGCACATATCCAAGTCTATTTCTTTGCTTATAGATTATAATTTGATTCGACACAGCGGCTCTCACTATTTCTCTCGCACATAATTTATTTGTCAGTTGAGAGGCATGTTATGTGGGGGAAATAAATTAAATGTGGGTCATATATACTGCTCAAATTTAACAATGCTTGTGAGTATACAAATTATATTATTATTATTATAAAACAAAAATTAACCAAAGCAGTCTTGTAATCTGAATAGGTTTTGATGCTGGTTACGTGAAACTTTTGTCAACAACAGAAAAGGCACAACTAAATTTTACAGACGTGCGAAGAGAAGAGGGAACTTAAATACGGTTTACTTTTAATGTATAGATATGAATAAAAATGTGAGCTGGCCGTCCAAGTGAAATGGCACCTTGTTGTAATGAGGAATAAATAATTATACAGTAGTGCATGTTGTTTGGATGGTGCTATAAAATTTAGTTTATGATGAATTTATATATATATATGGATATATTTAACGTAAGGTTTAAATCATTTTCCCCTGGACAGTAGACACCCAGCATATATGGATCTGGTTTGCCGAAGTGAAAGATGAGCTCTAACAATGAATAATATAGTTTGCATTGTAAATTTGTAATTAATCAAAAGCACAGGGTGACTCGAAAGCTTTTTTTTTTTTTTTTGGTTGGAATTCGAGGGGTGCAAATGGAAAGGGGAGCAAGTTGGGGGTGGTAATGGCATAGTAGAAGTGCACGTGAGTTGGGGGGTCAACTCACGTGGCCCCATCCACTACCACGGATATGTGCAACGACAGGCACGAAAGCGACGCCTGATGGCTTCTCCACGTTCCGTTCGTCTTTCTGTTTCCTTGCTTTTTGTTTTTTTGAAAAAAATATAACAATGCGTTTTTCTCTCCGGTTCGTACTGATTTCTCCCTTCTTTTTTTTCCAATTTAAAAAGGGAGACGAACTGACTCCTATGCGAAATAGCCTCAATAGGGCAGCTCCTGAGTCGCAATGAATAGGTTGAGGTGAAAAGAAAAGGCCTAATCAATAGGGTTTAGATCTCTAATATTGAGCCTCAATTATTTAAAAATTTTAACTGTAAGATTGAAATTGTAAATTTAATAAAAAATAATGGGAAAAAAAAGAAGAAAAAGAGAAATAAAAAGGAGGGAGGGAGGGGGGGGATGATGAAAAGACAGGATGGCAGGACGTGCCAACGAGTGGCGACAAGGGCCTATGGATGTAGGCCTCCGCTTCTGTCCGCTGTCTTCACATCCGCCAAGTCAAGTACACAGTGCCTCCCTCCCCCTGTTTTTCTTTATCTTCTTCCTCACATATCCATTTCCCCTTTTTTTTTTTTTTCCCCTCACAGAAAATATATGCAGAGAGAGAGAGAGAGAGAATTAGGTATGGGAAACAAGAACGAAGAATAAACATTTTCCCAAGAAAATAAAAAAAGGAGGTAGGGGGCGGGGGCGGTGTGGCTGCCAAGTTGGGCAATGGGGGAGGGCAAGAGGGGGCGGTGAGGGGTGGAGGGGGAAGGCGCACGTGTTTTGGGCACACCTGTGTGTGTGTGTGTGTATATTGTGATTATTTTACGAAATTTATACACAAGATTGCGTGCTCGCGCGCGCGCGAGATAATGGTGGTGAGAGAAGAAGGCGAAGAAAAGGAGAAGGAATATGGCAAGTGTAAAGGGAGGGGGAGATTGGGAGTACAAGCTGGGGCGAGCGGTGCGGAATGTAGAGGGGGGAATGGTGGGGAGCCGCCATGATTGTCGGAGAAATGAAAAACGACAAATGAATATAACTCACATGCCTCCTTTTCATTCTCCCCTCTCGAACATAAATTATACTGCTATTCTTTTACATATTCATTGTTTTTTTAGCGAATTTTTTAGTTGAGATAGTCACATGAACATTTTAAAAAAAAAAAAAAAAACTGGAGGCATAAACCCTGAAACAAGACGAGATTATAGGTGAGACTAAACTAACTTCTCCAATTTTTTTTTTACTTTTTAAAAAAAAGCTCATATCAGTGATAAGATAAAATCTCTCGCTGAAAAAAAGAAGAGGAAGGATGTGTTTGGATTAGCGGTGGAGAAGTAACTTTTTTTTCAATCTGACTTTTACAGAAGTTAGATTGGATAAAAGCAGCTTTTTTGAACTTATTGTATAAGTCCGTTTCAGTGACAGAAGTTAGATTGCAAAAATGTGATTCTAAACACATCCTAAATAAAAAAAGCTCCTTTTACCGATAGAGAAGTCAGTTTAAAGGTCCAAATGTGATTCGAAACACACCCCAAGTCAGAGACGGATGATAAGCAATCGGGAGAACGGAGGAAGGAGAGGGGGATCAGCACGTGAGGGGGGGGGGTGATGGTGGGGGCGAAAGGACATCCTGGGGGGTGGCCAGGCCTGCGGTGCTCTGGTGCGGAGATCCCTGGCAACACCATTATTATTATCATCAATTAAAAAGAAAGGAGGAGGCGGACGAGGGTTGAGATTAGGGAGGGAGGGGGGGAGTGAGAGTAATAAAGACATAATCAGCTCGGGAAGCGCGCTCTAATCATGAGCATCAGTGTTCATTAATTCATGGGTTCCTCTGTTAATGGCACGTCAACACCTACCTTTGCTGACTCAACTCCTCTCACGTGACCCCGCCCCTCATCATCAACTGCCTTCTGTTTTTCCTCCTTCCTTCGCCCCCTCTCCCCCTCCCAATTAACCCCCCGGGTTTTTTTCCCTTCTTAGACTTTGTTTGGTTTGGGTTTTTTTAAAGGAGGTCCTCTCCTCTTAAATTGAGAGTTTTTGGAGGGAAAAAAATATTATGAGAATCTTGACAAATATGTTCATATTATTTTTTGAATATTCTAGTGATGTTCTCTTGATATTTTTTTGGTTTTATATGATTACCTTCACATTCCCTTCTACGGTTGTTCAGTTTTATATATACACACACAAATATAATATGCATATATGTTAATATATTAATTAATTATATATATTAATATATATTATAATTATAAAATGACACTGTTAATATCATATATATTTTTTATTTCCTAATATGTGGAGGGTATTATTATATAGTTAAGGTCTTGCCTTTTTTTTCTCCCATTCACTTTTCTAATATATATTATACTTTTATTTCATAATTTTTTTATCACATATAAGTGAGGTAATTGGTTTTTTTTGAAATTGATAAATTCGGAAATAATAATTTTGATATAAATATTGTAATAAAAGAATAAATCAGTCTAAATATAGAGATAAGGGCATATTTGTCAATTTATAATCCCCTCCCCTCCCCTCTCCTTGTGAACCAAATAAGAAATCTCCTCTTCCCTTCCTTCCCCTCCAACCAAACAAAACCCATGATCTCCCCTCCCTTCTCCTCCATTAAACCAAACAAAGCCTTAATGTTCTCCTTCACCCCGATCTTCAAATTCCCATCCCCAGCCTCGGCTCTACACAAACACATACACCTCTGATTATATTTATCACATGCTTTTAACTCATTTTATCAAAACAAAAAATATTTCAAATTTTATTAACTATATGCCATTAAAATTTAATGCATTTTTAACTTCCATTCGATTTACCATAAGTTTTTCCAAAACAAATTCTAAAACGATGAATTAAAAATTGTACCTTCGTGTTCTAAATTTAATGACATGATTTATGTTAAAAACCCCTAAAAAAAAATACACTCTGTGTCTTTGTGATCAGACATTTTTAAATTTCAAATTCTCAATAATTATTTCAGTTAAAAATAACTAAAAGTCACTTCTCCTGTTTTGACTTAATTATAATGAATATGAGCCGAACTCCTGAAAATACTCATACGCAACTGTGTTATATATCAATTTGCATGTTACATAAATTAGTTTAAAAAATAATAAATATCACAGGTAAAAGGAACACAAGTTTTATATTAAAAACAGAAACCAATATCTTAATTAACTCTTATATTTAGAGTTAAATAACTAAATAAAATAAAGCATTGGTTCCACTTCCGAGTATCATGCTGCCTTAAAAAATTCAAGGGAAGAAAACAGAAATGAGATAGATAAGAATGGGGATTGGAGAAAAATAATAAAAAGATAATAGTATGGGGATCGCCGAAACATGAACATCGCATAACATAATGCAGTGTGCCAGCATTGGGGTAAACGGCAACGTGTCGCATTAGAATAAACCGTTTATTTATTACTATCATATTTTTATATGACAAAACGGCGTTGGCCGCCGCAACGACGTCTCTAACGGAGTTTAGCTTCACGGAGACGGAGACGGAGGAGTTCAGTTGAAACTTGAAAGCCTAGAACACAGAATGCGAGGAACTCTTGTGCTATAAAAAGATCTTTCACCCCAACAGACACCGAGAGAAAAAAAGAGAGAGAGAGAGAAAGGCAGAGACCAGAGCCCGACCTGAAGGCCACCCTCCTCACAGATCAAACGATTCCAAAGCAGAAAGTGACAGATTGGTTTCTTTTTTTTAAAAGTTCGCTGATATTTTTCCTTCTTCTTCCTTTGATTCTTCTGTGCTCCCATCTCACTGTCCACTCTCCAGTTTCTGTCTTCCGATTCCTGCCAGCCTCAAGTAAGCCTGAAACAATTGCTCTGCACGTTGTCTGCTAATTATCTTTTTTCCTACTACTTGCTCGCGAAATTCGAATGCTTCAGCCTTGTCCTTTGGATCCCTCGTCTTCTTAGTTTTTGTCCTCTTTGTTATGGTGCTAAATTCCCGAAATTTCTTTTGATTGTTGCTTCTGGCTTTCTGGGTAGTTAATATATGTTTCCCCGGTTCCTTTTTAAATTTTTTTCCCTTCTCAAAAAGCTGAATTATGCTACTGTGATTTTTCTGCTGCAAACACGATCAGAATGAAGCGCTAAAATTTATGGTTTTAATTAGGTGTAAACTGATTTTTCAGATTCTAAGTAATCTCTTCAGTATGGATTCCGATTTTCTGGTAGCATCTTGTACGTCATGATCTCTTCGCTCTGAAGTCTGAACAGCTGATGGGTAGGCAGACATTTATAATTTGAGAAAAGGAATGCGTATCTGATCTTCACCCTGGGCTGCGTAATTATCAAAGACAAGACGTACAGGAATACTATCAAAGAAGGAGGAGAAAAAAGAAAGATTTCTGTGTGGATTTCGGATCTGAAAATTGCCTGCATCGTATTGATCCGAGCTTGGAGTCCTGAACCACACGCTTCGCTTTCGAATTTCGGAGAATTCAGTTTAAGCTAAGCTGAATTGTGTGAGAATTCAGCTTCTGAGACACAAACAATTCAAAATTCCATTGAATCAACCGGCAAGAGAAGGTTTTGAAATAGCTTTGGATGCATGGAGCTCCCTCAGGCGCGTTCCTTCGGAACCGAAGGTAGTTCAATTGCTGCAACTGCTATTCTTCATCTATAACCTCCTATGACTTTCTTTGAAGTGAGATTTCCTAATTCTTTCCCCCCTTTTTGTTGCGTTGCAGCAAGAAAACCGACCCATGACTTTCTCTCACTGTACAGTCATTCAACTGCCCAACAAGATCCGAGGCCACCATCTCAAGGTAATCCATTTTTCTTTTAACGTCCTCATATCAAGAGCAAAGAGTTTTAGCAATTATCGAAGAAAACATGTTGACTCTGAATGTGAATTTTTTTTTTCCCGGCGGGATGGTTATTGTTATTGCATGCATCATGATAAAAATAAAATAAAATAAAAGAATTATGGTAATTATCCATCTCGGTTGGTGTTTGTGCACGGGACTGCAGTTGAATCATGGATCTGGGCCATGAATCTACTGGGCCACTTATTTTCCTTTTTTTTTTTTTTAAAGTATGATTTAATATAGTTTCTTCGTAAGGCTTTCACGTCAAATTGAAAAGTAGCAATCACCAAGTATTTAGGACCGTCGGATTACATGGGGGACTGGGTGATGGTAGGTCCCGATTTGCACTTGACTTTGAGCAGATGATTTGACGTCTCCCCGTCAGGCCTCGTGGAGCTGGGAAGGACGGAAAATGGCATTCGTGTGGACGCCTTTTTCTCCCCATTCTTGAAATTACGGCATCCAAATGTTTCACCGTCACCGAGAAGCGAATGAAAATGAAAATGAAAATGAAAGATTCGGTATTTAGGTCTTTCACTTCGGTGTAATATATATATATATATATATATATATATTTATATATATATTTCCTTCAAAGTGAAAGGTTTGTCTTTTTCGGCCGAAATGGATAGTTTTGGTTTTGGCACTGCCTTTAATGCTTTCCAAAGCTGGGTTCTGCTTTTTCTCCAAACTGCGCATTTATGGCCTTTTTCTGTTCTTCTTTTTCAGTATATTATCGAAATTAATTAATATGTAGTGAGCGACTTATTATATCATTTTCAGTAGAAGCAGCTAGACTAATCTCGGTTCATAATCGGCCTGTTCGCTTCATTCTAATTATGGAGTCATGCACATATTTATCTTGGAAGGCTGAAGAATTCGAGTATTGCTGGGAACCATGTTTGAAAATATCCTGTACCATATGGTGACATTGCTGATAAAATCTGAACGCTAATTTAATAACAGTTGCAGTATTAACTTACCGGTCGTTGGTTCGTGCTCTGATACGCGTCTTTTAACGTTGTAACAAGTTAGTAACAAAAAAACAAACGACCTTCTTGTGGTCCTGCTAAAAATGAAAATGAAGTATCGCCCATTATTCAAATCTTCACGGTTTAGCTTTTTCATTCACACGTTCTTCCTTTCCTGGTAAAACGTATCGTTAAATCTGAACAGCATCCTTGGGCTTTCTCATGTGTGAACAGGAAGTTACCTGAAAACGCATGACTTCTTGCAGCCACTAGAACGTTTTGAGAAGAAAGCAAACGCCAAGGAAGAAGCATCGGATGAGATATCATCAGTGGTTCAAAAGTCACCACCTCCTGCACCGCCGCCGCCGCCGCCATGTGTTGAGCACATCCTTCCTGGAGGCATTGGGACTTACAGTATCAGCCACGTCTCGTATTTTAGTGATCCCAGGGTTCCAAAGCCGGAGGCTTCCTTTTTCAGTGTGTCTCCTTGTGAAGCAAGTACAGATAGAAATGAGGAGAACTCAAACTGCAGTTCATATACTGGAAGTGGTTTCGCTTTGTGGGAAGAGTCTGCCGTTAAGAAGGGAAAGACAGGGAAGGAGAATAACGTGGGAGATAAACCCGTTATATCAGGTAATAAAAGCTAATTCCAATTTGTTCATACATGCACCATGAAATAAATGTTGGGAGCTTCTTTATATTGGTCTCATATATAAATACCATCTGCATGTGTGTGAACCAGAAAGTTATTGACGTTAAGACAGACTCCAATATAATTATGTCTTCTAATGGTAATTATAATGGGACAATATTACAACCTCTTTGTATCATGTCCTCAATGGTTCTAACTTGCTGCTTTCTTCCGCCAGAGTGCGCAGCCAAGACAGGGCAGTGGTCGCTGACTGAGAGAGCATGTCAGTCATTTGTTAAGAATAGTCAGCATAGCTTCAATTCTGTCACTTCCACTCAGTAAGTCAACCACTTTTTGTGTGCCTCTTGTTATCGCTAGATCATTATATGCAAACTAGTCTCTCTTTTAAATGAGTTACTTACTTGTTTGTTTGGATTTCTGGGTATTAATTCAACAGGAAAACTGGGCAGAAAAACCAGAGTTTTATTGATATGATAAAGTCCGCCAAGGATTGCTCTCAGGATGAGGAGCCAGACAATGAAGAAGCATTCATTTTTAAGAAAGAATCTTCAAATACCCAGAGAGGTAACACTGCTTAGAAACGTTTATATATATATATATATATATATATATATATATATATATATATAAGTAGTAGAGTATCTTTCGAGTGTATTTCGCGGAACTAATCATGTTATGATTGAGAATGCTGTGCAATGAGTTTTCACGCAAGAAGCCCCTTAGACATTTTAACCTTTTGCTTCCGATATTGGACTTCAGCCGCCACTGCTGTAGCAGTTTGATATGCTTGTCTGTCATCAATTTTGGTTGGCGTTGGGGTCTTTCAAATGTGTTGAACCAGGGTTAAACTGCGTTATTATTTGCAGGCGAATTGAGAGTGAAAGTGGATGGAAAGAGTTCTGACCAAAGGCCAAACACACCACGATCAAAACATTCTGAAACAGAACAGCGAAGAAGGAGCAAAATTAATGACAGGCAAGTATTATTTACCGTGCATAAATCATTTGAGTCAACTGTTACAACTTTCTCTCGGTGATAACGAAATTGCATAGACCTTTCTACACGCACAAAACCTCAATAATGCGATGAAACTATCTTATTCTATCGCAATGGTTACGTTTCTTTAATAAGTGATGGCACTGAAGTGCGCCAATGCCAGATTTACATTTTTTGTGTATATAAACTTTGAGTGTTGAAAGTTGTGGAAGATGATGAGAGCTTTTCAATTATTCTGTCTATTGCGTCTGGTTGCAATTTATAACATCTGTCAGATTAGTATTTTATAAGACGATATAAGAATTTATTTAGTTGATTGGCCCTGGGGCACATTGTTGATAGATCATGAATCAGGACTGATACTTTTGGTTAAATCTGATATACTATTTGAATTAACAATGTAGATTCCAGATGTTGAGAGAGATTATTCCACACAGTGACCAGAAAAGAGACAAGGCATCTTTTCTGTTGGAGGTAAATTCATTTGGTTTGATGGATATCTTATTACTTGAATTGTTAATTGTTAATTGCTGAACCACATTTTATCTGACTTATTTGCAGGTCATTGAGTACATTCAATTTTTACAAGAAAAGGTTCATAAGCACGAAGATTCATACCAAGTTTGGAATCAAGAGAGAGAGAAATTGACCCCAAGGGTAACAATCTTATTTCCTTTCATGACTTGTGGAGAATTTAAAGAAAGAAAACAATAATTGACTAGCCTTGTCATCCGTCCATCATTTGGTTTGATCTCCTTGTTGGAGTAGATCCAGCTTAGGCAGATCGGTATGACTGAAATGAGTACCGATGCTTGTGTGTGACCTCTTATAACTAAAGAAGTGAATTGATTTGACTGTGACCTCTTCACCTAAAAACTGATTATCCGTCTTCAATTTTAAACAGAAGAACAATCACAGGCCTTCAGAAAGCTATGATGATCCATCTCGTGTAATAAATAGTGGGTCAGGTCCTTCTTCAATGGTACTGTTTCCTTCAAAGAGGGAGGAGGAAAATTTTAGTATCTCCCCAACAATTACTGGGGGCACAAAGAACGTAGATGCTGGCACTAGTTCTGCAACTACAGTGAGGGCAATGAATCAACATCCTGGAATAACCAATAAGGCCATGCCAATTCCTAACCCTTCACAGCCAAATTTCTTCAATCCTAGCCACAGTGGCGGCCCAGGTAGATTGGTGTCTCAGCCCACACACAGGCTAGCCTCAGATGCTGAAAACATCGTGTATAATCCCTTAGGACAATCTCAGACTTACTCTTCTGCTACAGGGGTGACTGCTGCTAGTGATAAGCTTAAAGAGAAAGAGCTCACTATTGAAAGCGGTGCCATTAGCATATCAAGTGTGTACTCAAAAGGGTGAGAAATTGTTGATTTTATTCTTAATTTGATTTTTTTTTGTTTTTTGAGAAAAAATTGAAGTTTTATTTCTTATCAACTATTTTCAAGTTGTGCATAATGCACGAATCAATGCAAACAAAATAGAGTTGTGGCAGGTTACTCAAAAGGCCAATACAATGTGTAAAAATAGTCCTTATTTTTGCTCAAAGTATTGGCTTGGCCGACCTTGGCACAAAATTTGAACTTTTGAGCATATGAAGTCAGAGATTTCGTCTGCCTCTGATCATATTTTCATTCATAATTTTTTTGGTCGGCTCAACTATATTACTTTCAGAGGCCCATCTTAAAACTTAGTTATTAGGTTGCAATATTGCAAGCTGTGAAATCATGGCATTTTTTATTTCTGATTCATTAAATGGAATCTTATACGTTGGACAGGTTGTTGGATTCACTAACACAAGCACTGAAGAATTCAGGAGTGGATTTGTCACAGGCTAACATCTCCGTGCAAATTGAGCTTGGCAAGCGAGCAAACATCAGACCAATTGGACCAACTTCTGGGGTTAAGGTATATATCATCCTGCATTGACCCTTTGCCTGTTTTTCATTTATAATACATGGATATTAGAATTATTACTGAGGCTTTCATACTGTAGAGTTCTCAACTCTCGGCTAATATTTCAATCATTTTGCTATAGGATGAAGTTACTTCTAGCAACCAAGGGATGAAGCGCTCTAAAGTTTGTAGCGTAGAGGAGACTGACCTAGCAGTAAAGAAGCTAAAGACAAGCAGAAGCTGATTCAACTTTCATATTCATTCGTTCCTTACTATACATTTTATTCAAATTTTGGCTACTTTTTTCTTTCTCTACAGTTAATTTTTGAATGGGTCATTCAAGTCTGCTTCTGCTGGCATCTTATCAGCGAGAAGGGTGAGGTCGACTGTACATGCATTGTCTTAGTTCTGTTGGGTCCTTTAGATTCCCCCAACAAAATAATATGAATAATTTAGTTTCTATATTATTTAATTATAGAGGCTTCCATTCCGATTGAGAAGCTGTTTTTTTTCCCTATCAAGGCTTCCATTCATGTAAAGTATTGTATTAACTCTTGGTCCTTTCTGTGTTGTATTTTTTCAACATTGGTTGTGTGGTCTTAAAAGTACTTTTTTAAAATCTGGAGCATAGTGTGACCTGTTGTTCTCTTTCTGAATATTTGTGTCAGACCCTTTCCGTATTGCTTAAAAATTTATCAAAATGCATACTTTCCGTGCAATGCACCTTTAGCACAAAGGGACAACTTCAGAAAAACGAAGGGAATAAACAAAGTGACGCTAACAAGTTGTTGCTGGATTCCATTATAGCTTTAAGCTTTTTGGTCCATCTTGTGAATTCTTCTTTTGAAGAAAAAATTGGGGTAGATTCAGACATTCAGTGAAAAAATTGAACAAGGTAAACTTACTGTGATGTAATGGTTTATTAACATATTACGAGAGCAATCACCTGAGATTTGCAATTATTAAGCTTCTTGTAGAAACCTATAAAAATGACACTTGATAAGTGACATCAAAATTTACCACCTTCATTGTTATGTTGATGGTGCGATGAGCCTGTCTGATTATGTTGACGCCTCTTGCTAATATTTTATTCTGCAACATTGAATGCAGCAACATTGGATCAGCTGCCAACACGGACTTTATTAATAATTGAACACATGGTGCCATTTTAGCAGTTTTCATTTTGAAGGTGGTGGTCCATTCTATTCCGCAGAAATCCATAACCCGTTTTTCTTATCTTCTGCTGCAGCGATATGGGATCAGGCGTCCCATAATCTCATGACAGAAACGTGTTTGAGTGGGTGTATTCTAACAAATATAATGCAAACTTTCTGTAATTCTCAGGGTCAGTTGCTTCTTCGTCACTTAAAGATTTGATCTTTTCCAATGAAATCTGAGAATTGTTTAATTCTAATTTGGTTTGCACAGTGGATCCATGACTTGAGGAGAGGTGGCATAGTGAGAAAAAGAAGTAAAAATGTGATTATCACACCCAGAACATAAACTTACTTCAGTATTAAAAAAATAATTCGAGAATGGAGGCACGTGAAATTAAATATTACTATCTCTGGTCCTGAGCCAGTTGACTAATTTGAGGAGATTAAGGAAGTAAGTTGAGTTAATTATTTGTCCTAAATAGGTATTGTTTTTCCTAAAATATCTTTGCTAATCAAGTGTATTAACTAAAACTATAATTATTAGAAGGATTATCTTGAAAAAAATTGAGTAAATATGAAAAACAAAGTGGATTGGGGTCTTATATTTAAGATTAAAATAAAAGTCAAATTGGGTCCTTATATTAAGGACCGGAGGTGGTAGTTCTTAATGGTACTTTGTCATTGACGTGCTGATAACAGTCCAAATCTACGAGTTAACAAGTCATAAAATGCTTGGATTAGAACTTAAAGTTTTGATCAAGTAAAATGTAAGGAATATGGTGAAGCCTAATAGAACCACATAACAGCAACTACGAAGCCTCGTTGGTGAAGAAGATTATCCACTGCAGACTCAGATGCAGATTCAGACCATGACTGACCAAAGAATCAATCACTTTAAACACAAGCATTTGGCTCAACCCTAGACAGCATCTCGGTATAGGCTTCAGCAGCACATAATGACTTGTCAAATGGCTGGGTTCTAAATTACAAGTGGTTTCTTGGATCCTTCAACCTAGTTAATTAATTAATTGAGGAATTAACCTTGTAAATCTTGAAAATTTCGTGAGAACTTTCTTGGGATCTTCTTCAGCTTTCTATATTCTTCTTTCCCCCAAAGACGATCCTAGATTTCTCCAACTTATAACAATATTGTTAATTAATTTAAAATTAATGATCCTGTGATCATTTTGGCTGATCAACGAAGCAATGTTTGGAGAGCAGTTTCCATCAGTCCAGCCTGGGTATATCATGACTCAGTTTCGCCGACTCCAATTCAAACAAGATACTTCTAACCTTTTATTAACCATTTTCGACCAAATGAAAAACTGAAAAAGATAAATTTTTGAAGTTTGGTTTATTTGAATATAATATAATAATAAAGCCTAACTTAGCAGTGTTCCATTAAATCCATAGGATTGAAGAAGATGGAGGTGTCTGCCACTTGGTCGGTGTCAAAGAAGACATAGTTTTCTGGGAGAATTTTTCAAAGTGGTGATCCACTTCTGAAAAAGGCGAAGCACACAGCTTAACCACTTTCATGTTTGTGGCCATCAAATGTTGGAATAAAACAAAAAGATATTGATAATGTAGAATTATATGATTTTCCACCGTTATGCGCCTCACAACCTTCACTAGATTATATAATTTCAATGTGCACTTGTGAATAAATAAACGCGCCAATTATGTTTTTTTTTTCTCCTTTTAGTTTATCAAATTTAAGTGGCCATCATTGCATCACCATTATGGGAAAAACCATCTTTCGGTTAATTAATTAATTGTTGACAATACTTGTGTGCTGGTAATGCTCCATCCCAGTGCATTTGGAATGAGGAAATACCGTATACGTTTCTATTGTTTAGAAAACTTAAATTGGAAATAAATTATCTATCAAATTCATTATAAAATATTTAAACAAATATCTTGATCAGACTTGATTTCATTTTTCATTTTTGTTTTTTTTAAAATCAATTTTTATCTTGGTGGTTGTCAATTACGTCTGTGCTTGATTTTCGTTATTTCACATTATAACTGTACGTAAGATATGACAAAACTTGATTGATGCCAAATTATAATGCTATAAATGATACAATGTTCATATGATACGGCAATTTCTTCCACGAATTCGACCTCAAAACGTAATTTATTAAAAAGTAAAGTTACATTTAGCACCTAACACTCAGTATTCTAAACCCCTTTTTTTTTTTTGGTATTAAACTTCCTAATACATTGTCCTAATAGCACACAATATTTTAACTTAATTTTTAGTGCAATTTTGTCTTTAAAGTATTTTTCTCAATAGCAAGAAGCACATAATGACTGTTATTTTAAAAATATTTCAAATTTTAATTAAGTTCATAATGGAACCCCGACAATTTCTTTATTACGAGGCATCTTCCAACAACCACATAATGCAGGAGTACATCATTAATGGAATAAACCTAGAGCAAAAAACAACTCCCAGAGGGACCACCAGCAACTTTTTCTAATTGGTTCGTTTTCATTCATCTCTCGACCTAATCTTTATCAAATTATATTACAGGCTATATAATACATAATTATATCAGGCAAAGGCAATAATAATGCGGGACTAACAGGTAAGCTTCCAAGAACTGCAGGTTCCATTAATCCAAATCTGTATAACAATCTCTCTCGTGTACAATGCAGTTTAATAAGCTCTCGCCCCGCAATGTCAGGGTAGCTTCTATACATGAATGTGATTGGGATTATTTGCAATATGTAAAAATATATATAAAAACTATTTCCCGACTGCTGTTTCACTTAACCTCCCCGAGCTTTTTAAAATTCAAGATCAATTGCCCCTTCTAAGACAAAAAGTTGTCATCTTGGCTACGAGCCTGAGATCGTGTAGATCAGTATGTGGTAGAAAGTCTGAGCGCACCATACCAGGAAGCGACACAGGTAAATCCCATTATTTTCCCAAATACATTTCTCACGTACTTCTGAGTGGATCATCGTCTTGTGAGTGCTCTAAGCATTCCTCAGGATTGGCATAAAAATAATCCTCTTCTTTTGGCCTGTCAGGTATTACTATTCTTTTGCTTGGGCTGCCCATCCGACCCGCATGAGATCTCTTCACAGCTGAAGAGAATTCATCCCAGTTTAACACTCCATTATGGTACTGATCGATCAAATCAACCAGGAGCTGTCTGTCCAATAAAATTGTCTTCTTGAACCCAAGATATCTGTAAAAGCATTGAAGGGGACCAAGTCATTTCACTAAAAAAAATGAAATATACAGCTATGATACATAATAAAACCAATTTGCTATCGTAAGTGGAAAGAAGAGTAAGGGGAAAAGAAGAGTAAATCAATAACACAACTGACACTTTCCAATGTACTTCAGAACAGAATCGAATTGTCAGCAGAAATGTACCTGCGATGACCTTCAACTACTTTGGCCATATTTCCATCATACGTGGGGACAAAGATATCACTCTCTAATGAGACAAGATAATCCAGTGCTGCCATCTGAGATGAATGATTTTGGAAGAACTGAAGGTCAGATGGCTCTAACAGCGTCTCCTTCCTGACCTGTTTCAACGAGTCCGAATACAAACAGTTAGAAAGGGGAAACAAACCAAGAGGAATTTGCCCTTAACTTTTGAAGTACTCACCAATCTTGGATACTCTTTTGCAAGATTTGCCATTCGCCTTTGCCCACCATATATTTCCCCAGCTGCAATGTAGATCTGAATGTTCTGATCAATGTCAAGGGCCCTAAGCGTAAGGGCTGTTTCCTCGGGTGTTAAAGGACACAAACCGTCTTTTCTTTTCAAATCAGAATTTATTACTTTTTCTTTCCACCAAGGATAAGCATATCTGCCAAAGATAAAGGGATAGCATTATGAGGCAAGCACGTAGAAATATACTTTCAACACCCACAGTGAATACTGACTACTAAAATTTGAAAATTAAAGAACAAACTGAACAATGCAGATTGGCTGACCTCATTCTTGTCAACTCTTCCACCTCTTCACTGTTGCAACCTTGAGTACACCCAGAAAATGCCAGCATATCCATCTCATACCTCAAATGAAGTACCAGGAATGGACCATTTTGCCGCAGCAGCTTGATTACCTTTCTACCCAACCCCTCTATTTGAGAAGTAAATCTCAGGGCACCAAAATTAACTCGACAACGCAGTTTTTGAATATCTAAGGGTTGACCATTATTGGCCAATCGAGCATCAGTTCGATTCAGATGGACAACTTTATACTTTTGTATCAAAGGTAGAATCTGAAAGAATCAACAGGTTGATTGATTTTAGTTAGCAAACAAAAGATATTTAAATAACATAACCAAGAGGCCAAATAAGAAAGCTACATTCACAAGCTAAGTTGAAGTTTTTCCAGATAAGGAAAACTAAAAACATGTCACATAATGAAAACTGACCTGGTTCTTATAGTATGATATGTCAGACCAACTAATTGGTGGCATGCTGTAATGTAAACCCTGTTCCACTCTCAGCTTAAGTCTTGGGGGCAACTCTTTTAATATCCGCACCTCATCTCTCAAGGAAGTAATAAAATGATCCACATCGAATATATCTTGGAACTCGCTGCAAAAGAAAGTTGTAAGCGGTCATTAACATTGGCAAGGCCGTTGTCCGGTGAGTCATGTACCAAGATGAGATTGAAAACACACCTGGGATCAGCCCAGAAGGAGGCTTTATCCAGTTCAGGTACAATAAGTGTCACATTCAGATATCTAGCGATCGCTACCATGTCACAAATCTGTACAGCATACACATTTAAGAGTTAGTAACAGTCAAAGGTAAGATGGCAACGTATTTTAGTTGCACCAACAAGGTAATGCCAATCACGTGTGAACCACTCACCGCTGATCGCATTTGGTTCAGTCCTCCGTTGCATGAGACCATCAGGTAACCGTTATTTTTATAAACTCCTGGTTACAGGCAGGATTTTAAAAACAACTTTAGGTGAAGAAACAATAATAAGCACCACGAAAAAAGGAAAAATACGCATACGAAATCAAAGAAAACTGCAGAAAGAAAAGGGAGGGCGAGGAGTTGATTTGTAAAATAAAGTATTAAGGACATGATTAAATCTAAGGACAAACATCTATCTCACAGCAACAACTGGGATGTATAATTCAATCAAGATGCCAAAAGTAACAACTGAAGAAGACCAGGGAATATGAATAGCTTCGACTTTGGAAATGCATCAATTCTTTAAAATTCGCACATTTCCATCCATACAGATGGCATCAGAGGAAAGGAAAGTTGAGAATTGAAAAGCCATACAAAACTGTTTCCAAAGTACATTCATCAAAACAGAACGTAAAATCGACACCTCAAAATTTCGAGAAACCGAGCGAAACAGCGGAAGATTATTACGCTCTACGACAAGAGTTGAAATTAACACAATTGTGGAAATCTCAGCCCAACAAGAATGACTGCTCTAACGTAAATTGTCCCTCTGCGAGGAATTTGATAAATAGATAACTCACTCTTAGGTGGGAGAACTCTGACAGGGGTCGAAGGCAACTCGGCATCCATCACAACGGCCGCGGACTCGTGTGTAAAACAAGAAGGCCAGCCCTTCAAAACCCTTGGCCCCCATATATCACCCAACGCCGTTAACTGAACGATGCACGTCCAAAGTATAACCGAAGTTGTAGCACGTATCATCCACATCTTCATTTTCGACCTTGAAGACACGGCCATGGAATTTTTAAGCTTCTCCACCCTATTCTCCCCTAATGTCTTCAATCCCATGAGGCCTCCTCTAAGCTTATCTCTCTTATCTCCAAAATCGTCGCACTTCTTTCCAGTCCTTTCGGTCCTGCACATCTCAACGCAATGCCTTCACACCAGTCAACCTCACCGACTAAAAACCAGCGAAACCCAACTTAAATGCAAGGTTTTTCAGCTCCTTCTACAACAACATGGACATTAATTTTCTCTCAATTTGGTCAATGCAGGACCCAGAAAAGAAAGAAAAAATTGCGATGGAATTGTAAAACTCCGAATGTAGATTCAATCAACGAACGTCTTTTTTGTTTTCCCCCTTTTCCAGCTTCCTCCAGTCGGAATCTCAAAGATCCGACCTTGCCAAAAATAGTTCCGGATCACGACTATATGGCTAAGGACCTTCTCACCACCAATGCAAACAAAAATTTCCCGCGTACTCAACAATTTCGAGTCCAAGAAGCACACCACAAGCCTTAACTCCAAGGTGCATTACCATCCACTCGCCTTAAGATTTGAGCAATGAACGAAGTCTCTCAGCAGAAAAGCCCAGCGGCGCTCATCAAAATCGAAACCGCACAGGAAATCGACAAGATCTTTCCTAGTTGGACAACCCCACAAGCTCAAAGGTCCTCAATAAACCGGAATGATCGCCGGGCACTCGCGGCTCGAATGGCCGGCGAGTAACCGGGTGCGAGTACAATAATTATTAGGGGATATGAGTGCCAAGCACAGAGACACATAAAAAAGAAAAAGAAGGCGAGAAAGGAACCGAATAAAAACGCGTCGCGAGAGAGGGGAGAGATCCAACAATGACATTCATTCACACTCACACATGCGCCTTCGCACGCAAACAAGAGCATACACACAGATGCGAGCCGCGAGGCACTACATCAAAACCAGGGTTCACGGTGTTTGGGTTAAGCTCGATCCAACGATCATAAATGCCTATCATATGATGGGCCCACAGCAATTCATTTCTCTCTCACAAGTGTTCGCCATCCATCCGTCCAGCTTCGCCGCGTGGCGATACTTCATTGCGGGCTTTCTGAACTGAATGCGGGAGCCGTTGGATCTCGAGACCATACCAATCCGGTTGTCGACGCCGACAATATATCGCGATATTTTCCGCGGATTTTCCGGTTACGAGTCAACTCTCATATCCAACGCATCCATAAAAAGGAAAAGTGAAATATATTTGGACAGATTTTTCTATTTTCGTTGGGACAAAAAAATTTCCTAATTTCACACGCACATCGCAATTAATATGCATATTGATGTGCAGGAATAAATTAGTAACCCGGTGCGCGAGAAAAATCACACACAGTTTTTGCCAGGGACATTCAAATTCCTTAATACGATCAATTAACGAAGATCGTTTTCTATGTGGTAATTAAGTAGTTGCTAATAAACGGATCATGCGAGAACTACGGCTCTTTATGATGTGAAGAAACCAAGTTTTTTTTTTTTTTGAGGGGGGGGTCCAAAACACGTCAATGTGAAGTAAAATGCAAATAAGTAAATAAAATGAGACAAACACATAAATGACGGCATGGAAGGCGGCAGGGCTGCCCAAACAGGAGAGTCAGGAGTCTATGAGATTGGCAATCTTTACTCCCTTTCTTTTTTGAAAATTATCATTGCCCTCACAAATGAGGGAATCCAGCTGTAATAATTTAATTTATAATTTTCGGGGAAAAGTGTTTTTTTTTTAAAAAACAGATTACGGTGACAAGCGGGAACGTGACATGTCATCGCCGTCAAGAATTCCGTCGGCTGTTCGCCGGTTGTGACACGGTCGATGAAGGAGAGGTCAAAACGGTCCTTTGATTCGGACCGTCAGATCTAGTTCGAGGACAGGTGTCACGGGCGTATGTCTCCCCGTACTTACGCACCAATGGCAGATGAATGACAAACACACAGTCCTGCACCGGCAGCGTACCACACCGCGTCCGTACGAAGTGGGTCCTACAAGGGGGTGGCTTTTTGAGCTTGAGTGGCGGGTGCAATGCACGGTTGAATGGGAGCGTGTGTTTGAGAGGGGGAAGTAAGTGTGAGGGGGTTGGTTAGGGATAAAGACGGTGCCACGTAGGAAGTAAGAAGCATTGACTAACACAAATATTTTAAAAAAATCATATAATATATTATATACTAAAATTAAGTAATTTGTATTTTTTTAATTCTTTTTAAGTTAGTTAATTACATGTCATATTGAGGATCGGAAATAAGATTAATGAATCATGAGTATGAGTACTTAAAAGTGAATCATATCTTTGTTCACGATAATATTGAGCAGCAGCGTAGGTTGAGTGAAATAGGCAAATATTGGAGATACAAGAGCTGAGGAGCGGATCATGTGTATTGGGATTAAACAGCGCGCGCACACTGAGAATGGCAGAATGCAATGAATAAGCATGTGTCAAATAAGTCAAAGGGAAAGGCATCATGTGGAACACTGGAATTACACCGCGAACGTTAAATGTGAATCATATCTTTGTTCACGATAATATTGAGCAGCAGCGTAGGTTGAAAAATTCTCTCTTCTTGACCACCAAAAAATGGAATTCTCTTGTCAATTTTATGAAATGAGTCAAATGTTAATAGTATATGTTTGAGACGGAGATGTTATAGATGTATACTCCTTCCAATCCTAAATATAAGATTTTTTTTATAGTGTAATTTAAAATTACATTACAAAAAGAGTTTTATATTTAGATTCAAGATATATTTGAATGATATGATATAAATAACTTGTAAAAATTGAGGACAAACAATTCTCAAACCATTTATGGGAATTGATGAATGGCTGGTAAGACGTCAGAAAGAGGTGGGGGGGGGGGCATCCAAATCTAAAAGAGAGGCATTTAAAGAAATACGACGACGGACGACACATAATAAGGTGCGGTTGTGGAAGTTATTAGCCACTTTTTTTTTTGGCCGAGTGGTTAGTAGAAAGAACAAGAATAGCAGAAGACATGGGGGTGGGTATAATAAAGTGGAAAATGTAGGAGGGGTGATGGATGAAAATGGGGGAAGTGAGGACATATCTAAAAGAATTTAAAAAAAGAAAAAAGGATGAAAAGAAGAGGAATTGGTGGTAGGCGTAGGTGAGGAATGTCACAAGCATGAATGAAAGGCAGCCGTATTTCTCATATATGCATATCAAGGCCGCCTCCTCTAGTATAGGTCATGACCGACCCATTATCCAACCACACAATGAATCAAACACAGACATTTATACACACACACACACAAGTAATAATTTGTGAGTTATAATAATGAAGGAAGGTTGGGTTGGTGATGATATAAGAAGCAGCAGGAATGAGAGGTTTGGGTGAATATGGGGGCATGTCATGCTTGTTCATGATAATGATGGTGATAAGGTAGGCGCACAAGGAATAACACTTGACCGCCTCTCTCTCATTCTTCGGGTATCACGGGATCCCTCCCAAACACTGCCTTCCATTCCGTCCTTCTTATTCACTTTTACGCTCCCCACACCCGCCTCTCTGTGTCCGTGTGTATGTATATTATAAAATATGGAATTAGTTTTGATGCTTTTCATTTCAATAAGAACTTTAAACTCGTCAAATCTAAATATTTTATTCGACTAGTTCATATTTGGTTTTTTATTTTATTTTTAATTATTTAAAATAATTATTTTAATATACATAATTTAAAATAAGGATAATCTCTTAACTATCATTCTTTCAAAAAATTTTTTTTTCCTATTTTAAAATAATTAATAAAAAATTTTAAATCTAAACCATCTAAATGAGATATAAACGGTCCACATATGATAGTTTAGAGTGTTTATTAAAGTGACGAGTGTTGAAACTGGTTCCTATAATATATATGAACCCATGGTTTAAAGACGAAAAAAATTATTGTGCATTTCTATAAAAAAAAATTCTAATCGTTAAAAAATTTATTGGATTGCCAATATTAATATGTTACAACCCTTTGTCATTGTCATTGTGATCGATCACTTGTTCTGAATTTTTTTTAAAATTATTAGAGCAATTACTTATAGGAGACTACATGGTAATTTTCCCTTTTAAATATACATATTCAAAAAGATGTTAGGAAGATTTTTAAAAAAAAATTAAATCTGTGAAGTCTTTTGCGCCTAACATGTAATTTATTAAAAGAATTATAATGAGATCTAAAAAAATAGTTATTAAAAAATCTCAATAATAACCTAAGTAGCCTGTAATGACAAGTTGTAAAATAAAAAATGACAATTTTTTATATTTGTTTTATAATTTTTTTAAACCTTATTGTAATTTCCTCTAATTTCTTCCGTTTATCTTTTTCAACATATGACGTAATGAACAAAAAGAACCATATATCCAAGCTGTATATGGAGAGTTATGAAGTTTTGGTAGTGAATAAAGGGTGTGGGTGCTTCTGAATTCTGATTCCTTTCGTATTCTAAAAACATATCCAACTTGTAAAGTTAGCCCTCTGCCCTCTTTTAATTAATCCCCCCCCCCATCATTCATTTTCTTCAATATTTTTCTCAAAAACAGAAAACAACAACAATAATAATAATGCAACTCATTATCCACACACACACAATTCCCCATTTATTATTATTTTGTCATTTTTTATGGCAATTCCTTCAACTTTGAACATATATGCCCAAGCCAAGTCAAGCCCTACGACTTGTTCAGTTGTCCTAGATTAAAGTAATCGTCACTTATATGTAACGGTTGTGTCTGATCTATTATTCCATATTGTATTTATATGTATGACGTCCTATTTACTATATATAAGCAATCTATATATAACAAATCCTTTTATCTGTGTCTCTATATATATTATTGTCATAACCTTGCTTTTCCATCTCGTGGTAAGATTCTTATTTCACTTGTTTTTTTTAATATATATTTAGACTATTAACTTTTTAATTAAAATATGAATACTGTAAAATTTCTTGTAGACTAGTAGACGATTTATAGAACTTGCTATTACATGATTATATTCTCCTGAAAAAAACAACGATTTACAATCCTATTGAAGGATCTCGTTTTACAGAAATATAGAAAAATTATATAAATATGCTATCAGTATAATAATGCAAAAACCAGAATAAATCATGTTATTCAGAAAGTCATGAATAATGCAATTAATTCTTTTATCAGAGAGCCTGCAACTAGTTATAAAGAAAATGAAGCTTACATAACCAATAACGACTTAATAATTACATATTTTTGTGTGTGTTTCTTTTATTCAGAGAGAGCTTTCTCGTTGATTATTCATCCTGAATAAAATTATAAAAGGCAATAAATTAGCAGAATGGCGTGGGACTAGGAGGTTTGGAAAAAGATCAGGATTTGAGATGCTTTGCTCGACAATAATAATTGCATTTCATTTTATTTTTAATGTACAAACGGCTGCTTCAATTTTTTATTAAAAAAATATGATGGCAATAATTAATTAGTACTCCGTATTCATTATTCAAGGAGGGTATAACTGGAAGGAACAAGTCAATTTCTGCTTAATTCGGGCCCACTGGTTTGCCCTGTAACATTTAATTTGATGAACCTCGAGAAGATGAATGAATATGAAGAATCAGCTAGTAATTAATTTAAACCCAGGATTTGATCTTAATTAGGACTCATTAAAAAATAGATAAGCAAAAACACGCGAAGTTGATTTTTTTCCCCCTGACCTCTCTGATAAAGTCAAGATATTCCATACACTATACATTCAATAACGACGCATGAGACTGATTATTAGTACCTGTTTGTAAATTTTATTGATAAAAAAGACGCTGGGCAACTCATCTTCAATATGTGCAAACCTTATTAAATTCTGTATAACATATCTTCAATTGCATAAAATAAAGACTGGTTCCATTGCTCAGTACAACTTTCAAGCAGGTCATTTTAACTAATTTTTTTCTGTATCTTTCAATTTATGGAAAAACAGTTGGAAAAAAAAAAAAGAGAGATATGGAGTCATGGGATTCTACCTCATGACAAGAGAACACCAGGATTACTCTAATAATTGCAAAATGTGAGCCTTTAACTTTAGTGAATGTGAAGTGACTCGTTTTACCAATCAAAAGGCACATTGACTTGACTAGAGGTTCAAAGGCCTCTGTAGTTAATTGATTTTTCTCAATAAAATTCCCTGTAAATTAATGTTTATAAATAGAACACAGCTGAAAAAGTTTGCATTCACTCTCTCTCTCAAAAGAAAAGCAGATGAGAAAAAAAGTGAACAATAAAGTGCAACATCAAAGCTCCTAAAGAATTGGTCACATGATTTATGCATCCCTATTGAAGTTGCAATTAATAAGCAAAAGGTGGTCGAGAAAAAGAAGAGGGGCAAAAAAATAGTGTGAAATTATATTGTTAGCTCTTGGCAGAATATTCCAAATCATCAGAAAAGACGAGAAATGAAACATGGTATATTGAAATCTTCAAGGCAAACATAACAAACACATAAAAACAAAGCTTCTTGTAAACAAGGAAGATGACAGTTCGTGGAAGAAAAATAAAAAGAATAAAGTAATCATGCGTAAAACCTTTTGGTTTGATAAGGATTTTAAAAAAAAGAAAAAGAAAAAATCATGCTCCTTGTACAAAGAGAAAGATGGGGAATAAGAAGGTTGATCTAGATCAAAGGGATCCATCCAGTGAGTTTCTTGGGAACACTTTAAAAAAAACTTGTGAGTCAAGCCAAAATGAAGGAACCTAATCAAAAGTTACGACCAGTTCCTGAATTTAACTCGAAAGCCCAATTATTAATTGAAAAATGGGGCAAGAAAAGAAAACCACAAGAAGCATGCGGCATCAAATTTGGCGATTTCAGATGATGATGATGATGAGATGGAATTTCCCAGCATGCTTGTCTTAGACGTCACTGCAGAGCTGGAGGAAAAAACTAACACTAACCTCACAAATCACAAGCTCTTCCTGTTTAGCTCATCTAATCTCTCTCTCTCTCTCTCTCTCTCTCTCTCTATAAATATATATATATATAGGGCTGCCCCTGTTTGTAGCTAACTCAATTGCAACTTGTAATATCAACATCCTAGTTTTGGAAAGTAGAAAATTTTAAATTTTAGATGCAATAATTTACATGTTCTTTTATCGTTATTATCACTGTATTTCGATTTCTTCATGAAAAAAATTAGCAAAGTAATACTAAAACGTAAAGCAGATTTATCCGCATATGGCAGTAATTGCAAGTTTAGTTTTCTGAAGGAAGAACGAGAGGGAGAATGGTTATGCTTTTATATACATACAAAAAATTACGTATTCCAAAACATATACATCATAAAGAAAACCTGCTTTACAAGACAAAACCACGGCCCCGACTGGGTTGGAAGAAGAACAAGTGGTGAAATCATGAAACAGCGCAGCCACGGTCCCTAATCATACAGTCTATTATGCCATTCCTTGAAGATACATTTCATGATGAATATTCTCCGCAATGTTGTCTCCACATCTACGACTTCTCTTTCTTATCATCCTGATCATTCAACCAAGTTCTGACATCATATTAATACTACCATCAAACGAAAGTCAGTTCCAGAGAATATTTCAATGACAACATAAATAAATATTCGTGAGAGAGATAAAAGGGTTGTGTCATGCTTGGTTGAACAGGCTTTTACTCCCCTGCTCTAGCAAAAAACATAGTCAGATTCATGCTGATATTGTGCTTCCGCTTTGTTTTATGTCCATATATGACTAAAGTGTTACACATGGTATCACCATGTTGTGATCCTATCCTAGTATGCCATGAATATTTTTTTTTTCAAAATGAATGTCTCTTAATGTTTTTTCGATAGACGAACTGGTGTTTTTGATGTTGTTTAGAATGTCGACGATACAAGTGTTATGGTCCAAAATCTCAGCTGAATAGCTAGATTTTAACTGAGGGAAGGGTTTTTGCATGCAGAGTATGAATGCCAGAAGATGAAGCATTGTTTCTTGTTTAAAACTTCTCTGCACTGCAAGGCTGTGCTAATGGCCCTTTCTTGTTTTGGTAAAGTGTCAACAACGGGCTTTAAAAACTCATTGTTTTCATTGAGGGGCCAATTGCTGACCACAAGTTCCTTTTGGAATATTTTGTCGTCCACATCATCATTCAAAGGGCCGAAGAGCATATTTTAGGTTGTGGCCTTTTGAGATTCATCAGGGCTATTAAATCTCAGGCCCTTCTCATAGGTCTTTTTGACTCATGAATCCTCCATAAAATAACTCACTATGCATTCAAAGAAGAACATACGAAAGAATCTGAGCTGTGCTCGAGACTTGTTTTCTCTGTTTACCAACTCTTTTTATACTATTATGGATTAAACAAAACATAAAATTGATACACATTTTTGTCGCAGATGACAGATGTTAACACCATTTTTTCGATGCATCTTTCAGATGTTGGACATTTTTTCATGATTGGTGCAAGGGAGTTAGCAATGGTTGTCTGTCATACTTACAGCATGTCTTCCTACTTTTTCTTATCAGCATCTCTATGGTGTGCAACCTGAACATCATTTTAGGCCTCAAACTCGAACATTTATTCTAGCCTATTTGTAATTAGAGACTTAATTAATTTTTACTTTTATTTGTACAATAGGGTGGCCCATGTATAACTCATGAAGAAGAATATTCAGTTCAAACTCAATCTATTCAATAATGGAATTATCAGCATAATAATTCAATTTGTCATCCCTATTTCGCAGATTTATGTCTGAGTATTGGTGGTCTCGAGATCAGTGTACATTTGGTTATTTAAATTTTGATTTAAATTGAGCAGAAAAAAATTACTTCTCTAACCATCGAAAAGCAACAGGAAGCTGGGCCAAACTACTTCAACCCATTTGTTTTCAGACAGAGGAATGGCTTCATTACCTAAGCCATGAAAAGGCATAAATCTGCAGGAACACTTGGAAGGATTTGATTTACTCAGCCTAGCCTCAAGAACATAGAAGATAAGTCGGTGAAAAAGAGACAGGCAAGAATTCCACTCAAAAGTATTGCTTTAAAAGTTTACTGGCAGGTCTACTGTGAAATCTGTACCGAATATACGAACAAAAGGGAAGACATAAGACAAAAGGACGATAAAATCCGGCTGCAATAGGACAAAACATATTGTGCTTACCAAATTATTCATTTTGTCCAGACCAAAATCGATGTCTCCACTTCCATCATCTGAAAGACCAGAAATGTTGGAAAATGTGGAATCCAGATCAAGATTTGGCTTCTAAGACTATTCCAAGTGACAATAGATAAATTGCAATATTTTATGGCATATATCATGTAGATTTTGCTATTAACTGCTTAACTTTCTCCTGATCATCGTGGCACTACTTACAATAGGAGACGGACCAAACATAAATGTGCGGTGTCCATAAATCAACATCAGATTCTAAGGGCTAAAATCAACGAAGTGTACCTGCTTCATCATCACTGTCACCTATATCTCCCAGGAGAAATACATCCAAGTCTTGCTCAGTTGAGGTTGTAGGTCCGTTCTTTTTCACTTCTATCACTTGATTAGAGGCCAATCCAACATTTGGTGGCTTCATTGCTTGTTGATCCTTTTCTTGGTCAGACGATTTGACTTTAGCATCTTCCATATACTGCTTCTGATAGCTAAGGAAATTATGACACAGGGCAGTTGAAGACAAGTAAAAAATCAGAACAGCTATAAAATAGGTAAGTGCAGTAGAATGAGGGAGATGCTAGAGCTTCCCGCATGTAGAACATGTACATCCAATCTTATCTCCAGAGTAGATTAATGCTTTTAGTGATGCTGACAAAATACTTTACCAAAATCATTTTTAATTGGGACATTGTATACTCATCCAATATTCTTGTAAATGGACTGCACAGAATAATTGTCGAAAATTGAAACCATCATGGATGCCGATAGCATTCAACTGCCGGTACTGGCTCTTCCTTAGAAATCCAAATTGCAATTTGAACAACTTCCATGAACATATCACTTTGGGGAAAATTCCTTCAACTTCCAATGCCTAAATAACATAGGATTTTCAAGCCTCAAGGATAAGAAATGATTCTTCCAGACGCTTTAGGAACTAAGTGGATTAATATAAACATAAATCCTACTCTAAATCCTACTTTAAAACAAATCAATGATATCTGTGAAGAATCAACTACAAGTGATATTCACCAAAAACGAAAAAGGCAGATGAAAGATATCTTTTTAAGTTTCACTTCAGAAATAACAAGAATTCCTTCCGGGATCACATAATTGAATAATTTCTTCTGAATGTACAGAGTAAATAATTCTGTATCGAAACGGTCGAGGTCAGAAGCACAGTCACAACTCAAGCAATAAAAACAAAATACCCAAGCTAAGAGACAAATTACTTACGGTGCAATATGATTGTGCACAAGTATAAAATATATTTTCCAGAATTTCCTCTCTTTCATGACACGGGGACAAAGCTCGTATCTTAATTTTGAAATCTCCTGCAATAAAGAATGAGAAAGTATCAATTCTCCAATACGTTAATTAAAGAACTAGAAATTGATACTGAATACAAAATAATACTGAGGCATGAGTCACGACCCAACCCAAAATCTAGGCGACTATCTCACAATCACATGACAACTTCATCCAAATAAGACAATGATAATTAGTGGCTTTTTTGTCTTTGATCCTCCCCACATTTGTTCCATCAGCACACTTGGAGGTCATTATACCAAACATCTCATAATTCAAAGATGCTGACTTCCCTTAAAGGAAGTGAATGCATTGAAAAACATGCAGTGAACTTGCATAGTTATAACACAGAAGTACTCCACTATTCAAGGGCAATGGTCTTGCATAGCTTCTATTGACATTTCTTTTTTCCAGTTTTAGTGAATGTCTAGTAATAGTCATTCACGGCTTCTTTGGAGCTCTGGGATAAGAATAACACTACCTTGACTTTAGAAAGAACGAGAGTGGCGTGTTTTTCTTGCCACTCGCTAAGATCGGGGGACACATTCGAAACTGCAGGAACATCAGGCTCCTGGATATCATCTGCAAATGGGAACCCTTATTCAGATAATCTCGTCATGCACAGAGGGAACTTTATTTTAGCGCATTAATTAATCTGTTGGTTTACAGAGGCATAAAGCTTCTGTGTAAGCTTAACACCCCTAATTTCGTTACGTGTTTCCTCCACATTGTTTGAAATCAACCTACGTTACTCCTGTAAGTTAGTTAATCAAATGTGCATATAGCAAATTACCTGCGAGAGGGAAATCTTGAAATGTGGTCAGAGTGATCCCCTGAACGAACTCTCTCAACTCGTCGGTGATGCCAAACCTTTCGAGACCCTTCTCATCGATGTCAGAGCCCACATAGGGTTCGAGGAGCGCAATGCGACCCGGGGCATTAATCCCATCGGCGAATGTTTTGATTCCCTCGGCTCGCTTGATGGCTTCGAGTCTGAGCTGGTCGGCTCGCTTGGACGCTTCAGCCGCGATTTCCTTGGAGCGCTTGGTGGCCTCCGCTACAACCTCGGAAAATTTCGTAGCGCCCAAGGGCAGGTCTTGGGATCTCTTTGCGGCTTCCTTTGTGATCTCCTGAGTGCGCTTGGCTGTTTCCTCCGCAAAGCTCCGAGCTTTGTTCCACAACTCCATGTTTCACCTTCTTTCTTCTTCTTCTTCTTTCAGAACCAGGAAGGCACGGAACATGAGCCATCGTTGCTTGATTGGGCAACGGATCACAGAGCATTCCGCGCCACGTCCCGCTCTTGCCAAACCATCAACACTTCCCCCGAATTTTTTTTCTTTACTTTCTGTTTTTTGGTCCATTAATTCCTGAATCCTCTTCATCATGTATGCCTCTTACAATATTAATGTTTTAGTACAAATTAATCATTAGGCTTAACGCCAAAAAATAACAAACCGTCCATTTATGTTTGAAGTGATAACATTATCAAGTCAGTACTGTAGATTATTGAATGGTAACCTATGATCCACTCAGGCAAAGTTTGAAGATATATCATACTCCATATTTTATACGTGTAGTGTATAATTATAATGCGTGCATAGGTTTTTTCATACGTATCCCACAAACCTTCTTTCTCCTTCCTGGGGACTTCAGGGAGTAAGGTCCCTTTTTTAATTCCTGAACCTTAACTCAATTCTGTACGGTGATGCGGAGGGAAACAGAACAGAGCAGCTGTGCCTGAAATTTTCAGCATCTGTCAACTTCTCTAATGTTACACATCTTATGATATACAGTTAAGTGCATTTAATTCTGGCTGTGTTAAGATTTTAAGCATCAAGCATTTATGGAGGGGTAAAAGCTTGTCTGCAAACAATCAATGATCATGCACTTCTCAAATCTGCGTCACCTGTTTGTCCCTCTCTGTCTCGGACATTTTTATCCAGAAACAAAGATCTCAAGTTTTTAATCATTATATGAGCGCAAGGGCACAGACAGCGTATAACATTCAGTCCCCAGGCATACCCGTATGACAAGTAGATAGGACTCCACCAACAAAGAGAACTGAAGTTTCAGAACATTTAATTTGATCGTCGACATATCACGAAAACAAAGATCGTGTGGTTCATCAACATATCAGATCATTACAGACACAGTACGTACAGCCAATCGAGGACAGGGGAAAACACAGAACCGAGAAAATCATTTAACCAAAACGGAAAATTTGTCATCGAATTTCAGCCCAATGACCAACACAGTCGTTTCGCACGACCGTGTCTGTGACTACACAACACACACAAAGATCATACGGGTTATCTTCTTGGTAAGCGACGAGACATGTGTTTGTTTGATTTGCAGACAAGGTGCGCATTCATCGTTAGATATTTAAGGTCTATGTCTCCAAAAAAAAAAAAAGAAAGAAATTGGAGTGCATGCACGCGGACAGCGAGAAAGAGATCGATTCCTGTACGCTAGTATACTTGTTGGGACTTTACGACCTAAATTGACTAATCAGGCGGGTTATATATGATCCGCTTTGCAGTTTACGTGATTTTTTTTTTTGGGTTACAATTTGGCTATAAGGATACGTGTTTTTCATTTTTCTGCACAATATTAAAATATATACCATAATTAATTAATTATTAATAATTACTTACAATAATTATTTTTATCTGGAAAGTAAATAGTTATTTTGTTTATAAGATTATGTCATCATTATTTGCTTTTCACGTTTCATCATATTTATTTATATTAAACAAAACTTCGAGGCTTATAATAATTATATTATACATTTTTTCATAGATAAATATATTACATGGACATAAATAAAAGGTCACGACTTAGCTGAACTTCGGGGGGTAATGTGATCTTAAGACATCAGAATCTCATGCACGATAAGATACGGGATGAAAAATCTTGGTAAGATATTTCATAACTCAACAAAAAAATCAAGGGGGCAAGAGATAGTTATTCATAAAATTTATCAACACGTACGAAGAATAGTTTGCTATCAAAATTAAATCTCATCATCACATTAATTAGTTTCTTTATCTTCTTTAGGAAGAAGTCGATCGATTTTTATAGGGTTTGCAAAGCCTCTATCGTTTCAACTATCCAAAATACGTGAAATTAATATCAACAATGCTATCTCACGAACCTTCATTAGCAAGTAACAGTAGACCCCATGAAATAAATTCTGGTTTTATAGCCATGTCTGGCTAGTAATACTACGATGATTATTACAGTCATCAAGTTGTGAGCTGTTATGGACGAAGCAGTCAATATCTAACTCCCTCTCTGCCATGTGCACACATTTGATGCTTATTGCAATATTTGAGGTTTCGTGTTCTTCAAAGTTACATCTCAGAGACATGTCCTTTCCTGGCAACAAAATTGCCAAAACAAAAACCACCCTCCATTCAAACTTCTGCTGTGTCGTCAGCTTCATATTCTGCAGCAAGCAGCTGGGCTCACTACTATGCATAATAACAACATTTAATGGTCAATTGTTGTTACTGTTTAAGCGGCGATGTATAATATAATATAATATAATAGTTGGCTGATGGAACAAGACGATCAAAGTTAGGTTTGGGACCATATGATAAGTATAGAAGAAGCTGATGAAGGATGTGTGTGTGCATCGTTCGAAAGGGATGCTCAGGTTAGGCAATAATATTGCTATTGAGATTAAACTTGGGAGATGAAGACTGGCTAATGTTGACTTGATCGAAGAATGGGAGGTGTGCGGGTGTTCGAAAACGATAATTAAAGAAGAAATTATATGGCAGGCCATGCATGAGAGTGACATGACAGTGAGATAAAAAGGGGTTGTTGGTTTGTATTTGTAAGCAACGATAGTGTAAAAAATGGCGTGCCAGATTTGATAGATTGGGACCAAACCAGTAGTGTGACATTAACAAGAGCCACTATCCAACAGTGACGATGCCTTGTTGCGTGTTATCTGTCGTCTCTTTTACTGGGGCTTGTCTATTTATTTTTCCCTTTCACTTGATTTAATGTTCATACCCAAAAGAAAAAAAAAAATCAGAACTTCACAAGTTAACGTAACACCTTTCATTTTCCCATGAAATTGTATCGATTTTTTTTTGAGAAAACAAAAAGAAAATTAACATGCGGAGGTGGCCGTGGGCCAGGAAAATTGAATTCCAAAAGCAGTTTCGTGTAGTAGAAATGGGATATTACCATTTTAGTTTGGTAGGGTCTCATTCACAGTGAAATCCGGCCAGAACCAATGACTTCAAACCAAAAAACGTGACCTTGGAGTACGTGGGAGATTGAGTGGTGAGTATTGTTTAAGCTTGTACACATGTCAATTAAGAAAGTTAATTAGTAGCTTGATTAGACAATTGTGAAATCTAGTAATAAATAATATTTTATTGAAAGTGTTTTTTCCATGAATGAGTTATTAGCTCATGTTAAGTAAGTATTTGGATTCTATTTACATTCGTGAAAGGGTGATACGATTAAAGGAAAATAAGGAGGATTTTCAGTGAGTAATCATGAATAGAGGCTTGAAAATGGAGTTTTGAGATTGATGCATGAAAGAGAGGGACGTCTTGTCCAAGTGAGTTTTGTCAAGGAGGAGTCGCTGGGTTGAGTTCATCACGGAAATCTAGCATGTTTGATTTCCAGCAACGCTAGTGACTCATTTCATCGAGCTTATCCAATCTGATGCTTACAACTTTTACTATAAAAGAATAAGAAAGAAAAGCCTAAGTTACAACTTACAAGTGCAGAACACAGAGAAGCACAATGAGCAAGGAAAATTACTCGAAACATGTTTTATATATATATATATATATATATATAACACGAAAAACCTGGGTTTTAATTTCAAGAAATGAATTTGGCAAGGAGAAGAGGAAAAGATAAGAGAAGTGGGGCCAAAGTTGGGCCTGGGGTGAAGGGGAGGCCTAAAGAGAGGGGTGAGGGCGGCCGAAAAGGACAGCACGAAACAAGACAGGAAATCTATTCCAATCTGAAGGATTGTGAAAGCTTTTGGCCCCATTCCTCACCACCATCCCCACACCACACCACCCTCTTTTTTCCACGATTCTTAGAACCGGCCGGTTTGATCAATATGTGTGTGTGTAAATATTGTAAGTTATTTCTTCATATATGAATGTACTATTTAAAATATTAATTTGACTGAGATCTATTTGACCACTATTTAATGAGTCAGTAGCCCATCAGTACAATGTCCAGACTGGTTTAACATTGGTTCCTCGGCTTACCAAGATTTGTATTTATTTAACTCATTGATGGTAGTATTATGTGGAGTGTAAATGAGAAAGGTAAGAATATGAGAGGGATGGATGTGGACAAGTACCAGAAGAAGACCTAATGGGATATTCTGCCCACCACCGTCCCATGTGCATGTGACCTTGTCTCCTATCTCCCTCTCTCGCCATCTCCTCCCACCATTCTCCTTCACTAACACCGTCAACCCCTATCTGTGAGGCAACAGATTTTCCGTGAACCCAAACAACAAATATGGAATGGGGCTCGAGAATATATATATATATATATATATATATACACACACACACACACAAAGAAATAGGAATAATTGAAAACGAGAAAAGAGAGAATGCGCGTGAGTCATCATGACGACATGACCCGAGTAGTTCAAAGATGAGATGTGTTCTGATGACTTGAGAGCCATTTATGAGTTGGTGGTTTGAGTAGGCAAGCACCGACCCTCTTGCTGTTTATGGAAGTGGAACGCTCCACTTCCTTTGGTACCTTAGCTTCAAACTTTGAACTTCACGCACAATATATCATCCCTTATAATAAAAGTCAATGGACGGCTCTGAATCTGGTTTTTCATTCACTGTTACAAGAAATTCAACAAGCTAAGTTATTCCCACGTCAGTGTTTCTATATCTTTTGGTGCGTGCGTGTGTGCGCGCGCGCGCGTGTGTGTTACTCATCATAAAATTTGTTGTGAAGCGTAGCAGAGATTCAGGTGGTCTCAATGTAATCTGATTTCTACATCAGACAAACAGTTCCCAAAACCTCTTAATCACAGTTTTTTCAGATGCTAATAAGAAGCCGACTAGCAAATAGAATTGCATGGAATGACGGTGAAATGTTGCCGTGTGAACACAAGGGAAATGAAAAGAATAAAAGAACATGGACTAATGAAATGCAAGCAAAACACGGCGAAAAGTAATTAGTGATTTTAACAAAGAGCATGCATGAGTTTTCAAGTGATGATTGTGTAGTCTCTATAGATCAGACGCCTCCTATTCATAAGTGATGCCTTGATGTTTTCCACATTGCATCTTCTTTGATTTTCGGTGCCAATCGGTGCACTCATCCTGCTTTGTTTCCACTGGTGGATGTTGTGCATCCACTACAACATGAGACACACTTCATTTCTTCAGCCGGCGCATTCTTCTTCCTTTTTTTGGGTTGTTCTTGGGACCAATTCATTTTTTCACGCAAACAATTACTATTTGAGTAATGAAGGAGGATGAATTTAGTGTTCTCTGGGGCAGTATGTTTTTATGAGTTGTTGAAGAAACGTAGGGCAAGTTGGAACATGGTGGCCACACAATGATAACGGAAGCAGAACACGCATTGTTGAAAAAATTCGAGAGATGATGATGATGATGATGATGTGTCAAAAACCCAACACATGCACCTCCTCAATGATGCTTGTCTTCCATGTTAAGTTGGTTTCTCCCTCATCACCATTCTGTTTCTCTTACCTCACCTCTCACTCCCACCTTCCGCTTCACTTCATCCCTTCTCATGTTCGCCACATTCCCTCCCTTTCTGGTCCTCCATCTCATTATACTAATTATTCTCCTAAATCTAATCTCACTTTTAAATCATACTTCTTCCGGGTTTAACCTTAATCATAAATTACTGTATCAGCACCGTGTTAGGTGGAAAAGGAGCATATTTATTCAGATAAACCACCAAGTAGCTAGCCAGAATGAGTTGTGAAACTTTAAATGGGGTTGCAGTGAGGGTTTAAATGGAATTAAATGCAGCCCCATTATCGTGACGTGATGGTTTATCTAAACCCTAAACGCTTCCTTTCGGCATCCTCTCCGGCAATAATATGAATAGGCCGGTCACTGGCCACATTTTCTCCACGCATTTAAACTCGTCCGGATTTTTCTTCCCCTTGCTCTTGGCCCAGTTTTAGACACCTTACCATATGAATTAATTACAAAACTATGGCAGCTGCCGTTTCAAACGTCTAGACAAATAAGTAACATATATGTCTTGTATAAACTGAAACAAGCCAAACACTATGATATGAAAATGAAGATGAGCCATTGTCATTGATGGGTATGGTTGCTTTGAGGTTCAGATCCTCTGACCTTAATTTCACAAAATTAGTTAAAGGGGTTGAATCAAAATGGGGGAGCCAGAACAGGAAAAAATATATGAAAATGATGAGCAACAACTATAACTGTACATGCGGCATCACCTAATATTTAAAGAACAGCCACAAGAAGGTGGGGAAGAGAATCAATGCGCATGTGCTTCTCAACATGTTACTGTTGCTTAATGCTATGGCTTAGACAGTGACTTCATTCGCAAAACATTCTTGATACGCACATATAATTAAGGTATAAATCTATTCCGAAATTTTTTGTTAGGATCAATATTGTCTCAGAAATTTTTTAGGTTCAATGTTGTCCTGAAAATTTCTAACATGCAGCAATGCTACCTTATCTTGTTAAAAAAATTAAATTTTACAGTTAAAATATTAATATTGATTGTTTTTAACAATAAAAAACAATATTATTAAATTTTGATAACTTTGAACTCAACAAACTTTCAAGACAACATTATTGTCAAGCGAAATTTTCAGAGTAAAACTACATCTTAATCTTGTGATCTTGTACCTTGCACGTTGCACCTAAGACTCTGCTTTCTTGGTGTGGACTAGGATGTGAGAGAATTTTTCTGTTATAGCAGTTGGCCAGCTCACGCGCCCACTATTTATTAGTCCACTAATTTGTACAATTAGCACTGACATCAAAAACTTTTACTAGTAAATAGTGATACTACATCAGGTACTATTACTAACACTTATTTGGATAATTTGCAAAAAAATTAATGAAATATTTATAATTTATTTTCCTGTTCACAATGACAAAACAATGCATTGGTATTATTGTTTTGAAATTTTATGACACTGCATGGTCCTTCACATCCTTTCCAAATCAACCAAGCAGTCCTCAATAGTGCATGTAAATCTTGAGATCTTGATCTTCGAAACTAAACATGAACCCATTGTTCATTAATGCAATAAAACAAAAAAAAATTAATACATGAGTAAAACATCCAGATATCATTTTAGCTAAAAATTAGTGGCAATAATAGTAATAAATTAGATGACCAACTTAGGTTATCTAATATAATATGATAATAAAATATTAAAAAAATCAAATTAAACAAGTTAAAAGGCATTCCTCCAATCGAATACGGTAGTGTACGGATGATCCAAGGAAGGGGGAAATTTAGGTTCATTTTTTTAATTATTATTATTTTTTATACTAATTATAAGATTTTATTTATATTTCATTTTATAGTCAGGATAGGAAGGAAATAGTGTTGTTAAACATGTGTTAAGAATGGTATATGGTGGTACTGGAGACATGAAATCCCACGAATCAGGTTCAGATTGTTCAGCACCACCAGTTACGGAGGGCACATACATCGTACAGTGCAGTATCCTGCGCTGTTCACTCCAGTGCTTCATTTCTCACACCTTCCCAATTACATCCCTCCACGTGGCGTCCATTCCACCACTCGTTCCTCGTTTCTCCTCCCACCCTCCCCATTCCCTCCCCCTAGTGTTGTGGTCCCCACCATCGACCACTCCGATCTTGTGTCTCCCTCGGTAACAAATGAAAAATAAAAGATTTTATGTTATTCTTCTTTGAAAAACAGGGAAAATGCCAAGATCGCCTTCCCTCCTCCGTCCACGTGTACCTCACGGACGGCTCTTCTTTCCTCTCCCATCTCCTTTTTACCGTACGGTCCAACCCATTTGTGCTCGTCGATGTGTCTTTGAAATTTCCACGTCACGCCTAAGCACCTAGAATCGGTTGCGGGTTGGGTTTGGGCTTAGTGGGGTTATTTGTGTATTTTGACCTCTAGCGCGGGGCACGCAGTGTAGTTTCGGGAAGGAGCTAGGGACATTTCCGTCAATTGAGTGGGAGAATAGTAGAAATAGAAGATAGATACAGTGAGTACAGGGATATTTGTCAGATCAGAACTGGGAAGTAAGGGAACTCTCTCTCTCTCTGGTTCTCACTCTCTCCCCCACTCTCCAATGAACACGCACACATGCAACACTGACACGCTGGAAGACTCCTCTCTCTCACTTCTGAATTCTCACCCCTTGCTCTCTCCATAATCTCTATCCTTCACGCAACATTCAGCTGTGAAATTTAGACGCAGAGTTTCAAGGCGCGCTTTTTTGTTGATTTCCCTCCAGTTTTACTCTTCGGACCAGTGATAATTTCATTTCTTGCCGGACATACGGGCGGAGCTGAGCCTGAGCCGCGATTTGCGACCAAATGCAGGAAATACATTCTATTGGGGGTGGTAGATTTTTCGACGGCAGTGGAGGTGGAACTGGCGGCGGAGACAGGAGAGTGAGGCCGAATCATCACCAGAACCAGCAGGCCTTGAAGTGCCCGAGGTGCGACTCCCTCAACACCAAGTTCTGCTACTACAACAATTACAACCTTTCCCAACCTCGCCATTTCTGCAAGAATTGCCGTCGATACTGGACTAAAGGTGGTGTCCTCCGCAACGTCCCCGTCGGCGGAGGATGCCGTAAATCCAAGCGATCCAAGCCCAAAGCCTCCTCCTCTTCAGAACGTCCCCCCACGCCGACACGACCCCCGCCGCCGCCGCCGCCCCAAGAGAACCATAAGACGAGCTCTCATTCCAGCAGCGACAGCTCCAGCCTCGCCGCCGCCACTGAAGCGTTATCGGCGCCTTCGTCTTCGAAACCGGAGCTGCTTACCAATCAGACTTCGAACCCTAACTTGGAGTCGGGATTGATGGAGCAAGGAGGGGACTGCAGTATTTTCTCGGAGATAGGGAGCTTTACGAGCCTGATCACTACAACAAGCGAAGCATTGTCGTTCGGGTTCGGGAATATTCCGGAGTCGACGTCGTTTCGGTTCGGTAGTACTACTCAACAGGAAGGCATGGCCGGGAATGACCCATTAGCGGGGGCGTGGCAGCAGGCGCAGCAGAAAGAGCCGGGGATGGGTGAGATGATTTCTGCGCAGGAGTTGAAGCTGCCGGAGATCGTACCAGGGTCGTTGCTCGAACCGACGGTGCCGGTGGATTTGTCGGCGTTGCAGAGTAAGAACGAGAACGGTGGGTTCGGATCGTTGGATTGGCAAGGAGGCTCAGACCAAGGTTTGTTTGATCTGCCTAACACCGTAGATCATTCTTACTGGAGTCACACTCACTGGACTGATCAAGAAAATCCCAGTCTCTTTCATCTTCCTTGATAAGCTTCCGTCCGAGCTTCAAGTCTCTCACCTTTTTTTCCTTTTTAATTTTTTTTTATAAACTTAAAAGGAAGCAAAGAAAATTTGAAAATAAACCAAAAAAAGGGAATCGAGGCCGAAAGGATTTGGTATAATTATGAGATGTAAAATCTTCTTTTGATGGTTTCTATTTTTCTTGTGAAGATGTTTGGGGGCCGGGTTTGATGTTAGTGATGTGCATGTACAACTAACTCGTATGGCTGGTTTTCTCTACTTTTTTTTTTTTTTTTGCTGCCTGGAATTTCTGGGTTTATGCTTGAATATATGTATGAGAACTGAGAAGGATGTGACTTGATTATTAGAAAAATAGGGGAAAAAATTAGAGTGTGTTTTGATTGAAATTGGGTGGTTGTTTAGTTAACATTGAAAGTGTGAAGAACGTAGTCTGATAGATAGGAAGATACAGAAGGGTGGTGATTGAAAGGGCATGAGGTTGAAGACGGATGAGCTGAATGGTGAAAGTGACGCCAATAATGGCGATCATCCTACGGTGGTGCACCGCGCACACAGCATATGATATGAATAAAGAAGCCAAGTAGAAAGAGGTGTTCGGAGGAGGACATGAGGTCCACGTGGCGAAAACGACGGCGAACGAGGGGTGAGAGGACACGTGGGAATACCTGACAAGACAAAGAATGTGGCGTACGGGGTGATAAATATAACGCCGACGTTAACAACCTAAGATTATAAACAGGATGGATTCGGGACTTCATGTGATTAGGCCAAAAACACGAAAACAGGGGCGGAAGGATGATGAGGGGTGAGGGGGAGTGTGGGAACAAGAGGAGGTCGTCCTGGGTTTGGTGTGTGAACCAATTCATGGGACAGCATCATAATAGGGGTTTTGAGGGCGCTGTGGGAAAGCAAAGCTAAGGAACTTGGAAATTCCAATACGGCGGGGGAGTGTGGCGCCACCCTTCTAGGTGGCGGGGTCGAGTTGCATTAAGTAGAGTGGCCCCAAACTAACAATCCTCGATTGGCCGGCATTGCCATCCTCATGTCTACGCTCACTGCCCCTTTCACATTCATGATTCAACCATCTGTCGTCTTATTTCTCAGCCTTCGCAAGAGATATTCTGCATAATTAATCTATTTCCGTCTGTCCAGTTTATTTATAAGTTTTGATCTATTTTATAACTTTCAATTGTTATTAATTATCTTTTTCTTATCACATTTTTCTGTACATATTTTTATTTATTTATATAAAAACATATTTAGAAATGAAAATATATTTATAATATATTTATTATTTTAAATTAATTTTAATTAATTATTTATTATCTACAAATTAGTTATTTAAAATTTACGTTATCTTCGCAAGTTAAGCACGGGGATGCATGCACTCATATAAATGAAAACGCCATACTGATGATGGACATATGGTAATGAGATCACAAATCATCTAGAAAAGAAGAAGACGCTTGAACAGAGCAATATGCGCGCTTCCGGATGAGTCGCACCAGTATTAAATGTCAGAATAAGCTCAAGTGCTCAACGATTAGCAGTGCAGTGTAGCCTGCAACTTCCAGAAACTAGGATATGGACGCTTCGATCTGAACATCATGGCTAAGTCCCAAACATGCCCGTAACAGTGTGGCCATATTGCCGACACAAATATGCTAGCCTTGCCACCTTCCCTCCGTTTTCATGGGGCATGTTTGTGTAATCCTTTCAACACACACACACACACGCCCAGCGTTTGATAATAGCTTTCATCATAGTAGCGGGAGACGCATCAGAAACTCACAATTTTTATTTCTTTTTCTTGGGCCTGAATATAATATGGATTGAAGTTGACGACTTTTCTGAATATTGACTCCCACCCTTTGCAGGTTGGATGATCACCGTCCCCACCTTCCTTTAGAAACAAGCTTCGAAACAAGATTTTATTATTTTTTCTCCTGTCTTTATGAATTAGAAGAGGGGCTGGCAGTTGCAGTTATGATTATAAATGAATGTGAGCTGCAGCAGGAGTGATATCGTAATTTCACCTCCCAAATTATTTAATATCCGCTTTTTTTGTTAAAAAAAAAAACCATCACATTCTACAATTCTATTGGGAAAAAAATTCGTAGTATGTGATTAGGAAAGTAAAGCAAGCAGTTCCTGGATACACTGGGGATTTACGGTCTGCACCTAGACACCTTTGGAAGAATCATTATCTGTAAGACCAAGACTGCAATAATGTTTTCCTTATCTGTCTCATTGCTTCGTTTCCCAAAATTTTCCCCTTTTCTTCATTTCTGGTAGGTTTACATTAATGGTAAGAGATCTGGCTCTCCATGTGGAGTAGAGCAAGTGGCAAGGATGGTTCATTAATCTTCTACCATTAAAATAAAGCATGCTTGGTGATGAAGGCATGAAGGGGTGATTCTTCGTGCTCCTCCTCCTTCATTGTACGCTTTTCGAATTTGGGCTCGAAATCCGTCTACAGTAAAGTCCATCTCAATGTAAAGACTTTGAAAGTCTTGAAAGATTTTGCCATCCAAACTTCTCAAATAAAACTAGAACACCGTTTTCAAATTTGCAAATGCTCCTCTAATTTTTAATATAGGACTTAATTATTAAATTAATTTTAGTTTTAAATATAAAAACTATTTTTTATATTTATCAGTTTTTCCTAAATTACCCTATAAATACTCCATCAACCATAATCAAGTAAGTGAGGGAGGAAGGATATTAAAAAAATGATTATAATGTTTTAGGAAAAACATATCATATTTCTTATAATTAACTAACTTATCTAACTTTATTAATCTAATCAAATTAGTTAAATAGGTTTTATATTAAGTACTGGAGGAGTATTTTCGATCCAAGATTGTTACGAATTTCGCATACTAGAATTATAATGGATTTAATTATGTTAGGTTTTAGTATTTTTCATAGATTCTTTTGGTGTTGTCTCTATCCGAGATCAAAGATTATTGTTCAAAACGTCCAAGTGCTGTGATTCTGAAATTTGATGTGTGTCGGCCCGCTGAAATCGTTTATCCTATTATGACCAAAACACATCATGTTCAAATCTCTTACTTTGTTGTCCTATTTCTTTATCCGACATATAGAGGTCTATCCCTGAGAGCAAACTATTGAAGTTTACTTTTTACGCTAAAGTATAGGTATCCTCCTATTAGAAGTACTATCAGGCACTAAATGTAAGCACCTCTCTCAGCACGGATTCGAACCTTAGTTCACCACGTTATGAGAGGCTAACCCCTTCCGCTAGACCCAATCCTAATTAATTGAAGTTTACTTTTCTCAGATCAAGCTGGTAGATGGCCAAAAAAAAAAAGATCAAGCTGGCAGACAAAAAAGGTGCTCTGAAAAACACAATATATCCAGGACCTAATAAGACTTATTTTTTTATATTTATCAATTTTTTTAAAATTAATTCATTATGTTCCTCCAACAATAGTTAAGTAAGAAAGGGAGGAAAGAAATTAAAGAAGATTATTAGAGTGTTAAAAAAAAACATATCACATTAAATAATTTGATTGATATTATTAATATACTTTAATTAGTTAATTAGATTTTATATTAAAAAAAAGATAGAGTACAATGGCAAGCAATGGCTTCCAACAAGAAAGTGGAGAAACTAGTAAAGCTAAATTCCATGGAAGGATATATCTCAACGTTTATCTTACAGCTTGAAGGCTTGACGAAATCAAACAGTATAATTCAGATCACCTGACAATAATTGAGTTGATGAACATTCCTCTCACTGGTATGTTAGGTTTATAGTCTAATTCCTGCGGTCTTATTTATAAGCTTCAAATTTGAGAAGAAGTATAATTTATTTTATAAGCTTTAATTTAGGTTTGTTTTAACATTTAATGCATTTTTTAAATGTTACCCTTAATTATTTCTGGCTCGCTACATTTCCTCATACATTTTCTTTCATCCTTTTTTTGACTTATCATAAGAGTATTTTTTTTAACTTATTTATTGTTTTAACTAATTTTTGTTACCTAAAAATTAGTCATTCGAAACTTATAATAAAGACCGGATGAAATACTACTCTAAACAGAGATTTGTATGAATAAGTGATGCATATTTCTTGACTATTCACCTTTTCAATTAAACTTGTTTGTTCATTAAAACAGGATAACATATAATTTGCACAGAGATGGAGATGGGGAAAATGGAAGAAGCAAGAAAAACTTGTATTGTGGTTGCTACTGCAAGTTAAGATTACAGAAGTGTTTGGATAGAAACCAAACCATAGTTTTAAAAGTGATTTTACGATATACGAAGTAAGTATATGGAGGAGTTTATCTTAATCCGTAAAAGAATGCTTTTGGAAAGCACTTTTAAGCAAACCCAAATACCCCCTACATCTTCAACCTCTTGTTTTCAAATCCAAGAATCTGAGCCTGTGATTTTGCCATATTAGGTGGCTTTTCTATGGCATCTTTGCATGATGATCTCGCTTTCATAAAGTGGCCATATACTTGTTTCTATTGGCCATTAAGTGAGGTGATGTTCAAAGGATTCTTCCGATTCGTGGGAAGGCTTTGTAAGCTATTCTTGATGGTAAAAGCATCCTATGTGGGAAAAGATCAAGTGTATTTGCCCTGTTATGGGTTTAGATAGATATGGAAATAAAATCTGTAACGGGTTCTTACTTTTCTTTTACAGTAGCAGGAGAAAAATTGAGATGTAAAGTAGTTTACCCGGGGGAAAGAAAAAAACTTGACATTCCATCAACTTGGGATTAAACTTAGCTCAAGTGTACCTAAAGCCTGCGATTTAACTTGCTATAATGACATGGCAATTCTTCAGTCAAACTTCCAGGTACTAGAAATTCACAAGGCCTTTTCACTTTCAGGTTTTCTAAACGGTGATCACGATTAACACGTGTTAAAGCGACTTTTTACTTGGGTTTCTTTTCTTGTCTATTGAAAATCTTTTTAGGGGCCAATGAGTGATGAATGAGAGTGGCAATTGCCAATTCCTAAGCAAACTATGCCCTTTCCCTTTATTTTCTCCTCTTGTCTTCTAAAATCCAGGACAAACAGAACCGACAGAAGGGTTTATTGATGAAAGGTCACCAATACTATGATCAGTGTGGTACGTACCAAAAAGAAATGATAAAAATATGTAACAATTCAAGGGGAAGAAAAATTCAAAGAAAAGAATGAGCAACTATTGAGAAATTATATCAGAATCTACAACACTGAAAACGCAGAAACCGGACCTTCTGCTTGCTTGGGCGCATACTCTCTGTTCTTGGCAATTGCACTGGGCTGCCCAGCCATTCCCAACCTAACCTGCATTGTTCACAGAAAATCACAGTGGAAGACAACATTAGACATTGTTCCATTGAAAAAGGAAAAAAGAAGAAGAAAAATCTAAGAAAAAACCATTAACATTAACTTACACTGGGAATGCAAAGGAACCTGTACTGCCTTCAGATTGATTAGAATCCCTTGATCCAGAGGACATCACTGCTCGATCTTCAACCTCCCCACCTTGACATGCCCTTTTGAAGTTGTCTCTATTTTGCTGTCTACTCATGCATATGATGTCTGTTTCCTCGTCCTAAAACAAAGTCACAGTAACGTGGGGATAGTTATTTTGGGACGTCACTGCAATAGAACAGATTCATGGTGGTGTGGCAAATGGCAGCGAACCTGTTTATAAGAGCCTGAAGGATATGATCTGCCGTCGTGCATGCCCGGTTTACTAACTTGTTCTGCATCCTCACCATAGTTAAGCTGCATTTTCAATTCCAGAAAGGAAAACAGATCAAAGTTTTCAGCTTTTGTATCATTCTTTTTTGTTGTCGAAAAACATAACTGGTAATGGCTATGTACCTTGCGATTCACTGGCCTTGGGTTTCTGGAACTCCCATCGAAACCACATGGAGGTTCAGACTTGACGCTTTTGCCATCTTTTATAACATCGAATGCTCCATCCTCTCTGAAGCAGAACACAATATAGTCTTCATCTGCAAAGGGTGACCAGCTTGAATCATCCAATGTGAGTTCAACTGAAGCCTCCTTTTTATCTTTTTCTCTCCGATTCTTTGTCTCTCTCTTTTTGCTGGGTCGCGTCAACTTCTTGTCATATCCATGATTGACTCGACTGTCTTTTCTCTTGTCGACTGCCATTCTAGGTGACGAAGCAGGTTCAGCATCTGCAATGTTGAGAAAAATCAAAGTTAAGAGTGAAAGTTTGTCCTTTTTCTTTGAAGATGGCTTGAAGAGTTTCCCTTCTACTAGGATTTACCTAAAGTCAAGAAACATGAAGCCCAGTCCCTAACTCTCCATCTGACAAACCTCGTTATCGTCCATGTAGTGAACATGTTTGTGAGTTGTAATCTGTCGTCGTGACGTGTTGTGAGGCTTAGGAGACGACGATGTTTGAGAAATGGAGGAGACAATGGTGATGGATGAGGGTGGAAGCAGAAGGGGGAAATTGGCATTTGAATTTGAAAAAGGGACATTCATGGTCAAGGGAGTTACAGTGTTCATCACATAATAATGAGCAATGAGTCGGTTATGGTTCAACACATAAAAAGATGAGAAATTTGTGGACATTTATAGTTGACAACCGTCCATGATTATGTTCATTGGAGCACCAAAATCCCAGTCACCATCCTTTTTCCTTTCATTGAAATTCACACAGACAAAATGGCATTTCATTCTTTAAGTACAGCTATTACAACATTTAAGTCTACCTAATTTAATTTAATGAGCCCTTTCTTATTATCACCCGGTTTCTATTATATGGCGCTTTTTAGAAGATATTCTTAATATTTTTATAAGGCAACTGATATTTTCAAAGAGTATTAGATACTATTACTTTTTTTCTTTCAATATATGCCCATATTTAATAAGGTAGTGAGACAATAAAAATTGATATTCCCCTGGTCCTACTTATAAAACAGAGAGTGAGAGAGAATATTTTTTGGTCCTATTTATAGGGTATTGAGATAAAATAATATTATAAATGACTTGTATATAAAACTAGAAGTGCGCCTATGCATGCACTATGATGGTAATTCTAAAATAAGAATGATCAGCTTAGTTCTGTAAAATTATACTTTAAAGTATAATAAGGCATTAGCTTCTTTTACAATTCAATGAAAAGAATAACTAAGTGTTCACTTGTATGAAGTATTCTTACAACCTCGAACCAAAAATTGTCTGATGACTGTATAATTGTGCTTGCATATTTTATTTATGTTAAAGTATCTAATCAATTTTTTAGTTTTGATAATGCGAATTAGTGTAATTGATCAGTTAAACTAGCATTGTTCTGTCAAATGATTTACTGATTTATTTATTTGGTAAAACTAAGTAAGCGTAAATATATTATAACATAAAAAGATTCGCCATGCTCGATTCAGAGTGACACGTCTTCCTCCCACCGACAGAAGATACCCCCCCCCCCAAAAAAAAAAAAAAGATTTCGGCTGTGCTAATTGTTAAACTATGGCCTGTTGTTACCATCAACGTTATTGTGGTCATATACTTACCTAATCTCTTTCTTTGTTCCTTGTTGCTGCTCCGATCTCTAAAAGAAACCCTCACGTCAAACTTTTGTGCTTTCTTCCACCTTAAAAGATAGAGCAAAGCTCTTAACCAACGCCGTCATAAAAAGGTAAGAGTTGAGTTCACACAGTGCAGGCAACCATGATTTATGAAGGACTGATAATGCCATTGGCTTGGCAGACAAACAACCATTCCACTGAATAAAACTGACTGGCACAAGAATACAAAATATGCACAATTTGGGAGAAGGGAAGAAAATGGTTTCCATTCGATTACATTACTATTTCAAAGAGCAGATAAATTATTACAAGAATTACTGAAGAACAAATAATTCTACAGTTTGCAGACGGGGGGATTAGAATTCCCCATCAGCAAAAAATGGATCATCCCACATCTCTTCACCTAGCACGTTTGAGCTTTCTTGTGTATAAGAAATCATTCTTTTCTCTTTCAAATCACTGGTTGAAAAGGGAAAAAGAAGAAAACAAAACTCCAAAATCAAAATTTTCTACTTCTGACTCTACAATGCTGCAACCACAGATCAAGAGTCCAAAATATCTGAGACTGCATAGCCCATCATCATTCATGAGAAGTAGCACATTTCAACTTGTAGCACAATCTTGAAGATAAGGGTGACTCTGATTGATGTACCTGTCCCAAAGTGGTTTATACCTGTCAATAGCCACCTTCAGCCATGGCTTCATGTTCCCGTTAAAGTGAATAACTGCTGCACTTTCAATCAAGCGGTTGTCAATATTTAGGTCATAACCTAATCCCATAACATGCCATCTCCTATCAAGTGGCTCTGTCAGACCATAAAAACTTAGGAGACCAGGAGGAAGGGTGCCCACTTTCCACAGTGTGCCGTCCCCATTCTGCTCCTGCCAATAGTGATATCTTGCAGTCACATTTGCTTTCCTCCATGCAACCAAGTCAAAAATGTTCATGCCAAATGCCCATCCACAAGCCTGGGGATCAAACTTCGAGCTTATAACTGGATTTGAGAAATTGAGATATTTGTAGTAACGATGAAATGCTTCAAGACAAGTTTCAACTGCACCATTCACATTTCCATGCAAATCCAAGGAGAAAAGCAGGGTCAGATCCTTCTGGACAACAACATCATCGTCTAAGAAAACAACCTTCTCCAGTTGTGGATATATCTCAGGGATGTAAAACCGGAGATGGTTCAGTAAATACAAATACTTAGGGTTCCTCATTTTTGGTTCAACTTCATTTACATTTCGATAACCCCCAAAATAGAAGGCTTGTGAGTCTGCACTAAGAAGTTGCTTGACGATAGGAGAATATGACGCATTCAACCAATGAAACTCCTCAATGTTCTGCACTTCTATGGTGGCCCCTTTAAAGTCACTACTGAGGAACCATGATTGCATTGCCCCATAATTGACACCATTGGTAACAATGTGGAACACCAACTGTTTTGGATGGTCTGCGTTGGAGACAGTTGAGTTGACAACTACAGATGTAGCCAACACATTATCTGAAAATATGCAAAAATGATAAAGATTGTTGTCCATCAACCGTGGGGAGTTTCTCTTCTCATGTGAGAGCTCTTGAAGGGATGGCTTCTTTAACCAGTCAGACATAAGTTTGATATTTAGGCAATGAAGACTCTTGGGTAGAGCTTCAGCAGCTAGTTGACCAAATACAGTACTTTGAACTGTTGCCGCATTTGCACGCTCTTCAAGAGCTTGAATATGCGATTTCATTGTCATGATTGTGGTTGCAATGTCATAATGGAGATCTTGTGCCTTAAATATCAGAGAAGATAGGCTTGTGATGATTGGTCCAGCTTCTTCCAGGGTCACCGGCTTCCCTGTCATAGCAGCTCTTGAAAGCAAAAGCTGGCAGCTCCTGATCTTGGAGCTGAGCTCCCAGGCTAGGTGAAGGCTATTGTGCTCTTTGGCAATAATTACATACGCCTTAGCTAGAGTCATTTGCTCAGCTAACTGCCGTGAATATGAGGTTGCACTTAATATTTCTTCTGTAAAATTCAAAGTCCTTTTAGTGACATATCCAACTCGTGCATATCTCTCCTGAAAAAGACAGTAACTTGTTCTGTAAATATTCAGAAGGGAGGGGAGAAGGCACTAACTTAACAAACATTAAACAGCATATGGAAATGAAAATCATCTGCGCAACTTAAACAATGAAACGAAAACAATGATTAACACCGCTGAAAAAACTTGGATAGGGTAAAATATTACTATTGAAGGAAAGAGAAGGGGGAAATGGCTATTGAAAGCAGGTACTTTCATGACAGGAGAAATGAAGGGTGACAATCACAGTTTATGTGGAGGTCGCAATAGCACAAAAAATTAAAGACTCCTGTAGACTGGGTATAACGAATAGTGCGGTTTGCTAACGATTTGATATTATATATAGATTTATGTATTGACGATAATTATGAATTGCAAGTATTTTTTTCAAACGACCTTCTGACGTAACAAACACAAATGCTAGAGGGTACCCAAATACAACTAAATTTGAATTTTCATGCAAAACAAAAGTCGTTATGAGACCGGAAAGAGAACCAATGAGCAAGCCAAGCCACTCCCAATAAACAATAAACCATCCTAAAATTTCAATGGAAATTGACCTCTTAAATAACTTTAAATTAAATTATCATTATGTTAACCATAATAATGCATGTGTTAGACAACAATCAAAGTTCTTCTAGTGAAAGCTAGACCTGCCGCAAATTACAATCAAGACTGAGGGGGTGTTTGGGAAGTATGAAAAGTGCTTTTTAAAAGCACTTTTCCGCAAATCGAGATAAACTCCTCTATCTATTTACTTCGTATACCGTAAAAGCACTTTTAAAACCATAGTTTTGATTCCATCCAAACACTGCCTGAGATTGCAAATTAAATTTGCTCTGCAAAATGCCGACTTTGGCCTCAGTGTGAGCTTAGTGCAATTCTATTAATTCAGAACATTTGAATAAGAACCAGAGGTTTTCTTCTGATTTGCATTGCAGATAGAAACAAAAATTCCTCTCACATCGTTCAAAATGGAAAAAAGCCAAAGATGGGCAAATAGCTAGAAAGCATTCCCATTCTTGCACCCACTAGACCTACTCCACCTTACCCTCCTATGGTGGTTTTGAGGGAGCAACTTCTTTCAGATTTATTGATTGCACTAAGAAAAGCCTTAGATTTATTGATTCAAACAATATCAATAGCATTAGGATAGTAAAAGGAGAACCCATGAAAACCAATGCAATCGCATATCAATAGAATTGACCGAACTACGATACCATTCGAGCAGCATGTACTTTCTACTTCAATCATTATGGTGATCTAAGATCAAATGAGAATCTCTGGTGTCCTATTGCATTGAATGAGTCAATGAGTAACGAATACAAAGAAAAACATGCCTCAGGAAAAAGAAAGGTCCACAGTTCTTACCTGCACCGGATATTCAACCTGATCTTCTTCATGATTGTGTTGTACAACAAACAAAACCAGGCCTGCAATACAGAACAGGCTGAGAAGGACCCAGATCCAATAAGAAAACCTCCGTCGAACCGGGCGCCGATACTCGGCTGCCCGTCGTCGCATTTTTCAATGACCCCGTCCACAATTCACCACCAAACCAGGAAATAAGACCGAACCAAATTTTGTATCAGATCAAAAATCCATCATAAAGAAAGGGTTTTTTATGGTTTTGGTGCACTAGGCTATAACCCAATGTTCATCTTCATCTTCATCGTCTGAGTGGACACAACTTGATTTTGCCTTGGTGAGCCAATTGATTCAGGCAACTCTTCCAAGCCACTGAAGAATGACAATTTAAACACAAGCTTGTAAATTATTAGACACAACTCGAGCAAGTCATTTACCAAATCATGCACTATAAATACCTTGACAGTTTTCTAAATTGATGATAATATAAAGAGAACAGAATGCCAATACACAACAAATCCAACATTGCACAAGAAAACCATCCCAAGTATATAAGTCGGTAGCAATCAAAATGAAGATGGCAGAAGTATAATAGCCGATTACACACCATTGAAATAAGAGCTAGTAATCAAATTTTTAAAACAAATTTAAAAAGGAGTAGATTCCATCCTTATTCAAGAGGATCAATATTCAAACAACAATTACACGACCAGATTCAAAGCCAGATTAAAATAAAAAGTTCAAACAAAGCAAGAAACGATGCGACGGCGTCCGACACAGGGTTGACAACCACGCAGGGAATAGATGACGCGGGGAACAAATTCAAATCTAGATTTAAAGCCAGAATGGACAAATCAATCCCACCGGAGCCCTAAGATTCGAACCTTGTTCAACACTTGCCCAGGAACAACCACGCAGGGCTGACGACGGTGAACGGTGTCCGACGGCGAGCTCGACCAAGTGTGGGATGCTTTGTTCATCGACGAAGAGAAATGCACCCGCTGCTTCTTACAGACGAGATCCTTTTTTTTTTTTTGCCGGATCGTGTTTTGTTCTGTCGGTTTTTTTTTAATAAGAGTTTCGTCGGGTTACATTAATTTCATTGAAAAAAAAAAAGTAATTGCTTGAAAGTAATAAAATTCATTTTACTATTAATTTATGCCATAAAGGCATTATTATCCTTAGTATTTTTTTATTTTTTTATTTTTATATAGTTGTTTAATACTACCTCCGATCTTAATTATAAGAGTTAACTGACTAATTTAAAAAGATTAATGAAGAAGTTAAGTTAGTTATTTGTAATAAACAGGTGTTGTCTTTCTTAAAATATTAAAAATTAAATAAGACCTTATATTAAAAATAAAAAATAGTAATATAGACTACAAAATCAGATTCAAAATATTTGTCGGGTTTAATTGTAAATTGCTTTTCGAAAAATTTTTGTTGCCCGCTCAACTCTTTCGTTACCAACTAAAAATTTTTATGAGAACTTCTGTTAAAACTTTCAACAATGTTGACTGTATCTTTAAATTTTCTTTTCTTTTTTCTCATTCTCATTCTTTCAAAACTTTCTTAACAAGTCAGATTGGACATAAACCATTATTGAACTAGACAAGAGAAGTATGAAATAAATTTTAGCATATAATAGAATAATGTATTACTTCTGGTTCTTTATATAAGATCTTATTTGATTTTTATTTTGATCTTAAATATAAGATCCTAATATATTTTGTTTCTCATATTTATATATTTTTTCCAAGGTAGTTCTTTTAACAATTATAGTTTTAGCTAAGACATTTGATTAGTAAAGATATTTTAGAAAAGACAATATCTATTTATGACAAATAACTAACTTAACTTATTTTTTTAATATCTTCAAATTAATTAAATAACTCTTATAATTAGACCGGAGGTAGTAGTATATTATTCTCTTTATCACAGTAATCCATCTATTCTGCACATGACACAGCTATATATAAATTAAAGTTTTATTACTTGGGTTAGTTTTAGGTCCTGAAAGAAACAAGCTCCCATGTAGAAGTAAAATATAAATGGAAGTCCATATTAAAACTTCAACCAGAAGATTGCCTCCCTGATTCAAGGGCATAAATCCGCCTGCACTTGCTGAGGACTGGGGATTTCAAGAATAAGAATCAGAAGATAGTTGAATTGTAACGGAAGTTACACCAATTAGGAAAAAGGTTCCATCTTTGTATTTAGTGACAGTGAAAATGGGGGAGATGATAAGGACCATGGATTAAAACAAAATTTACAGTCATGGGATAAACTAATAAAGTTTTTTTAGTGAGAATTGGGTCTTATATTTAGGGTCAAATAAGTAATAAATAGTAATTACTCACTCTTTATTGGGGTTTATTGATAATGATTTTCTTTTCATGAAATATCATGTTTTATTGTGGGTGAAAAGTTACAGATTTAATCTTCTTTTGTAAACTTATATTGCTAATGCTTTTTAATAGGAGATCAGAATAATGCAGTGAGTTTTTTATTTCTTTCTCTTTTTTTTTCGGGAAAAGAAAAAAGCGTAAAGAAAGAAAGATCAGGGGCGACCTTGAAGCAACAACACGCGAAATCACGTGACGACTAGTTGGGCGGCGGCCTGAACACCCCCCAGGTTCTTTGATTGGATCACAGGGCCCAGTTTTTTCAAACTAGCCCATTCATTAAGCCCAACACTCGGTAGTTTTGGGTCACTCCCCCCTCACACACCACAAACATAATTAAACACTGATCTACATAAATCTAATTGTTAAATAGAATGTCAGTATCGTTAACCAGGAAGTAATAAGTCGTAGAACAAACTTAACCACCGAGGTACCATGCAATTGGTGAACACTTATCACTTACAGCTCTCCGTACTAAATATAAAAGCTAGTTCATAGTTCTAAATATAAGACCCCAATCTATTTTGTATCCTGGATTTATAATGTGTTCTTAACAATATCCCTATTAATTGTAAGAGATATTTATGAAAATGTAGTTTCAATATATATGATTGAATAAGGATAATTTAAGAAGTCAATTTAACTTTTTTTTTTAATTTTCTCAATTTAGTTAACTCTGATGTTAAAAACAGAGGTAGGGATTTTGACGCACGACTCTTTGGTGTCATTATTGATGACTCTTATATTTAAAATGTTGCAAGTAGAAGTTTCAATACAACTTTTAAGATTCTTTTGGCCCAAAAAAAAATTACTTCTAGTACTTAATATAAGAACTAATTTAACATTCAATTTAGTTCTAAATATAAGATTCCAATTCACTTTGTTTCTTGTATTTATTTATTTTTTTAAAATAATTCTTGTAATAGTTGCACTATTAAAAGTTACATTGAATAATAATTTTAGCTAATATACATGATTGACAAGAATATTATAGGCAAAACAACACTTATTTATTATAAATGACTAATATAACTAATTTTTTTAACGTCACCAAATTAGTTATCTATTTCTTATACTACTTCCGATCCCTAATATAAAAGCTAGTTTGATATTTTGTTTGGTCCTAGATATAAGAACCTAATCCACTTTATCTCTTATATTTATCTTTTTTTTTTAAGTAATCCTTGTAGTAGTTGTACATGTTAAGAGTTTCATCAAATGACAGCTCTAGTTAATACACATGATTAACAGAAATATTTTAGAAAAGATAACACCTACTACCTTCGGTCCTTAATATAAGAGCTAGTTGATTAATCTGAGTGAATTAAGAAAGTTTGTTAAGTGAGTTAGTTACAATAAATAGGTAATGTCTTTCCTGCCATACCTTTATTAATCATGTATATTGGTTAGAAATACTATTTGATGAAACTTTTTACATGTGCAACTATTACATGAACTACTTTGAAAAACATGGATAAATATGAGAGACAAGTAGATTAAAATTTTATATTTAGAATCAAATTAAAAATCAAAATAACTCTTGTATTAAAGACCTGAAGTGCTATTTGTTATGAATAACTAACTTAACAAAAAATTTTAATTTATTCAAACTAGTAAACTAGTTTTTATATTAAACATTAAAAATAATATTAAGGAAGGGAGGTAGCACAACTTTTAAATACTCTCATGGCCAGGAAATTAGCAATATTGGTGATGGCATTGATTGAAAAATAATCAATATTCATGCCAGACACCCATTCCAATACAACTCTCTGCTCACACCAAAGCATGGCATAAATAATACTACTCCGTCTTTTATTATAAAATCTTTTTAACTACATTATACGGTTAAGAAAATAGTTAAAATTAATTAAAAGCAATTAATATGGAGTAAATACAGTTTTTTTCCAAATATATCCCAATATATAAACAGATAAATATGAAAGAATAATAGTAAATAAATGAATAAAGAGAATGTATTAAACACATTAAATTAGGGGTAAAATAGATAATATTGCATTAAATATTTAGACAATTTAAAAAGGATCTTATAAAAAGGAACAAACTTATTCAAAAATTGAATCTTATAATAAGGGACAGAGGGAGTAGATAATTATTAATTAGCGATCTTCCATTGTTAAATCAAATACATTTTTGAAAAAAAAAAAATCAAGCCGAACCTCGTTGCTAAAAAATCTGGTCATATATATTTCACCGCCGTCCGTACGCATTGAACTTAATCATCGCGTACTTACCCTTTACATTTATGTAAATAAATATATATTCCTCTTACCATCACAATTAAGAAACGTTGCTCCAGACAAGATCTTTTAATTTATATACGGTAGCATATATGAAGATATATAGCACTCGAACATACTCTCATCCGTTGACCGGGGGAAGCATCCATGGGGGAAGCAAAGGGCTGGTCTGAGTCGTCAATCCTTGGTTATCTTCTCCACCATCCCTTTCTTCTAGGGACGACCCTCTGCATCAAATTCACAAAATTAGAGGACAGTTACGAGACCACTTAGGATTGTTTGAGGAAGGATACTAACCCCATGTTATGCGAGGGTGGCAATTGTGGTGGTTGTTCATGGTTTATATTGTGCTTTTCCCCATTTGCCTGTTGTGCCATCGCCTTCTCTTTCTCCTTTATCTATCCATTTCATCGCCCACATCATGACGTCAAGATACATATACACATATACATAAGCCCCAAAACTTGCAGGTTGCAGCTTAATGGAAACCGAGCATGTTGCTTACGTACCTTCTTAACCAGCAAGTTGTTTTGTTCCTGCAGTTTCTTATCCTGCTTATAGTAAAACACAAGTATTATATATAGTCGCTACTCGCTAACACCTCAACAACTTATAACGTCTAGCAAGTCAAATGCAACGGGGAAAACAATAATAATAATGAGGCTCACCTTTTTCTGATACTCAGAAATTGATTCATGCATGAGCTGGTTCTGCACAGTGAAACACTTAAATAAAATCGCTGTCTGTGTGTATGTGTGCCTGTGTGTGATCTCCAGATGAAGCAACAACATTGTCAATAATCATGGAGGAGAGTGTTTAATTTGTGCATGATTTTAGTCGTACCTTGCGCGTTCTGATATGTTTGAGAGCACTATCTAGCTGATGCTCCAAAGTCTGAAGCTCTTTTAGACTTAGGCCTTCCAGGTCTTCTCCCATATAATGCCTAGGAAAATAATAATAATAATAATAATAAGAAGAAGAAGAAGAAGAAGAAGCTGTCAGCTGCTTTAATTTGTTGCGTCTTTTCATAATTGTACGGCGGGTTCTTAATCTTAATCCCTTACTTTTGATTTCTTTGCAGGACCTCCATCCTAGCCTTAAGCTTTGCGTGCTCTAGAGTCCAGTTTTCCTAACAGCAGCAAGATATTCACATCATGTATATATCATTATGTCACACCTAAGAGCTGTATAACGGGGACCTTTTTTTTAGTCATCGCGTAACTTAAGAAAACATTAATTGAACCAACAACCCTGATGATTCGGATAATGATCTGACTTGGAAAGTCATGCACCAAGAAGGATGTTTCAGGCCAGACCCCAATGATCAGCAAATTATAACCAAAAGAGCGTTGAGTGGAGTGGGGTTGATTTAGAAAGAGGAGGAAGACGTACAGTTGATGAACGATCAGGTGCAGCTCGCTGCCTTTCTGTATACGAATACCTGTCATAGCGTTCAAGTATTTTTTCCATGCTGTTCAATAAATTAATAGTAAGACAATTAGTATATAAACGTACGGTATCATTTGGAAACATGCAATATCCACTGCACACACACGCGCACAAAATACTTTTCCTATACATTAAGCTATTAATCACTCATTGGTCCAAACGTATATACTACCTCCGGTCCTAATGATAAGAGTTAGTTAACTAATTTGAAGAAATTAAGAAAATAAGCTGAGTTAGTTATTTGTAATAAATAAGTATTGTCTTTTCTAAAATATTCTTACTAATCAAGTGCATTAGCTAAAACTACTATTATTAGAAGAATTACTTGGAAAAAATGTATAAATATGAGAGACAAAGTGGATTACAATCTTATATTTAGGACCAAAATAAAATTTAAACAAGGTCTTATATTAAAGACCGGGAGTAGTACAAAGATACTATATATGCTATTTCTCCAATCCATAAAAGATTGTTATGTTGAGGTAGTATAATAAGGGTAGTTTAGAAAAAAATGATATACATGGAAAATAAAAATAAGATGGATTGAAGTCTTACACTCAAAACCAAAACTAACTCTACTACTACTAGCTCTTACATTTTAGACCAGTAGAGCATTGTTTACCATTTATGAGTTACCAACGTGCCATTTATTTTGTTGGCGCCCCCCCCCCCCCCGGGGGGGGATTAAAACTATATAAATGAGTTAAATTTGAGTATGAATACAAGATGGCTTCATCGCTTTTCAATTTCATCCTTATACGTCACTTTCAAGTCCTGGTATTGATGATGTGAAAATCTAAATCCATTCAGAGGGTCATACACTCATACTTTCAAGTAATCTATACATGTACGCTGTGGAGTGAAATATATATACTCGAGATATCAATATTTTTTATGATTGTAGATATTTCATCCTTGGATCGGAACCAAAGTTCTTTTAAGATTTACTAATTAATTTGAGTCTTTCCTGCAAATCATCATGCAGTACTTCCCACAGATAGTCTTCCCATGTTCTGTCAATAAGATAATATAATCCTCAACTCATATTTCCTACGCATCTGAATTTAATCCTTGCACAGAGACACGACACATCCCATTTAGGATCTTTGGAACAAGTTTTCTTTTGGTTCTTGAGCATAGCTTTTCAATAACCATCAGCAATTACTTTATAGTTGATACCATGCATGTCCCCAACATAAAATGTCTTCGAAGACAAATGTTTTCCAAATATAGTGAACGTAAATTGTCATTTAACTATCCGTATTCTATTTTTCCCCCCATCACTTTCTATTTCTTTAGCTCCTTCTCTTTCTTTCTTCCTAACTCGGACACATATATAAAAGCCTTCGACACATATTGTCTCTAGAAGAGTTGAAAATATATGCGTAATCTATCCCGTATGTCCTCTCTTCATCTTCATTCAGCTGAACTAATCACAAGTTGCCTTTCAAAAACTTCAATAACTTGCATTTTTCCTTTATGAATAGGTGGAGAGAATACAGCTAATATTTTCCTAGGACCAAGAATAAATAATTGGTCATGTATGCAAGTGACAAATTAAAGTGTGTTTTTCTGACAAATTAAACATTTCTTTGTTACATTATGAAGGTAGATTCACATCTCATTCTATCATTATTGCATGAGAAATTAAAGCACTCAACAGATCCCTAAAACATTTTGTCAGAGTCACTTTGACTGTAAGGTATTTTACTGTCTTATGATTTTAAAATGATATTTATTTCTAACTACTGAATCAGATTTTAAGAAGTTTACTGTCAAATAAAAGGCTACAGTTTTATAAAAGATTTAGACGTGTAACAATATGAAAGGAATTGAAAATGATTATTGTATTTAAGGTTTTTCAAGTCCAAACTTTTAAAAACCTATGGCTGGGCATGTAATTTCCCCTCCAACAATAAAACACCAAAGGAAAAGGATAAATCCAATCAGGTAGCAACCATGAAGGAGATAATATAATATAGGCTCCGTGGCGTACGGATGGTACAGAAATTCCATGGTGATGTCGATGAGGTAATTTTTTGGTGAGCTGGAATAGCAGCAGAAACAACACATGTGAATAGACAATCAGATGAAATGTAATTGATGTCCCTTCAACTTGAAAAAAAATTGTCTTTTCTGCTCTTTTCACCGCCTTGTGCCTGTGATTTTGACTCTGTTGCTGTGTGTGTTTCCACTGATATATTCCTAAATATTTTCTTGTCGGAACAAGTCTTGTTTTTATTTACAGACAGTGTTTATCTACCTGAACCAAAAATTTGTCCCGTTATTAAAACCTGAGTTTTCATGACAGCCCCAGTGCCATTGAAAGACACCTATACCATATACCTATTATAGGAGCATCTCTGTGTCCGTCCGTACTATAAAACACATGCGCCAAATCCATATACCAACGTAAATGGTCCTCTTTCTCTGTGGATGCAACAGAATCAGAAAGAAGAAGAAATTTCATTTTCTGGTGTTTGCATCAAGTTTGTGCAAAGTAGGATGCATGCGGAGCATCTCTACTAGAGACAAAAGATCTTGCCAAGAAAATCCAATGACACACACACATATATATAGATACATACACATGAAATTAAGGATTGATAATTACTCTATCAAAACCCAACTGGCACTGACTTGAACGGATTAATTAACGTAAACACACAAGAGTCAAACATGAGCATTATTCTGAAGATGGCACGATATAGGGAAATATTACTGGAGAAGAGAGAGAGAGAGAGAGATATATATATATATATATAGCTAGTAAGAGAATATATAGATCGCGAGAAGAGAGATAATAATTTGGAAATTAAAGATCGTAAGCAGAAGAAGGGAGAAGTAGGGTTTAAGTAGGGTACCAGGGGTCGCTGGAGTATTGAGAGAGCTTGCCCTTGGTGGAGAAGACGATAAGGGCAACCTCGGCATCGCAAAGGACAGAGATCTCGTGGGCTTTCTTCTGCAAACCAGACCTTCTTTTCGAGAAAGTCACTTGTCTGTTGATCTTGTTCTCGATCCTCTTCAGCTGTACTCTTCCCCTCCCCATGATCGCCCACAATTCTCTCTGAAAATACGCTAAATCAATCAACACAGACGACACACACACGCCCTTGTGTGTTTATGTCTATACAAACACACACACACACATCCATATATTAACCCACCTCGTATTGATGTTTCTTTCTTGTTGCCAAGGTACTAATATTGTATTCCGTACGTCTCGATCGAGTTGTGACTCAGGGAAGAGAGAGAGAGAGAGAATAAGTGAGGAGGAAGCAAGGGGGAGAAGGAAATATGGTTCTGCAATTGCAGGAGAAACTAATGATGCATTTGATTTATGTTGAAGGTTAAGAGGTTAAAGATACATAAATGGAAATAATTAAACAGTGAGGGAAGATGAACGGGGAAGAAAAGACAAAAAGCAGGGCGGAAACCGGAGAGGAAAGAGAAGTGGTTTTAGAAAACCAGAATGCTTTGAGATGAGAACGTTGTCTAATGGAGATTGGCTCCACGTTCTGTCATGACAGTCCGTTACTGTCTGGGCCCCACTCCTCAGTCATCTCCCTTCCTCCTTTTCTTATCTTCTCATTACTAATCACTATATAATCACTGACTTATTAGTGCTAATTACTAATTGCCTACTTGCTCAACTGGCCCTCTTCTTTAATCCCCAAGCATCTGCTTAATGTTATTCTCACTTGCTTTATCTCGTCACATCCCCAGATTGTCCCTTTCTTTTCTAATCTCCACCTTTTAAGGAAAAATCAGTCCACATATTCTTCTAATTTATCTCAATTTTAAATCAGGTTCTTATAATTTATTTTATTTGAATTAAGTCTTTATTATTTTATCACGTGATTTTATTTTTTAAATTTTATTTATAAAAATGCATCAGTGTTAAAACGGTTTTAAATAAATGAAAAGATTTCATGAAGTTCATGAAATTTTATAAATTAGTTTTAATTTATTTCGTCTATAAGTTAAAATTAATGAAATTTATATCTAAGGATAAATGCATATGACGGATTAAATTATAAGAGATACTTTTGTTGTTTATAGAAGACTTATCGCTTAACTTCATTAATATGTACTTGATTCAAAGCATTGTTAAATTTTGCATAAAAGTATAAGACAGAAGTAAAACCACAACAATTTAAAATTTTGATAAAATAATATCGTTTTATTTTGAATGGAATATATATTTTAAATTTAGAGTGGATAGAATTTCCTCCAAATCCAAAAATTACAATCTCAACATATTACCTTTTTTTTTTTTAACCAAAATCTCAACACATTACACATATTTCTTTTCTGGTTTCTTTTCTCTGTTTTTTCTTTAATTTCTTTTTCTTTTTCTCCTCTTTTTACAAGATAACTAGATAAGCCACCGACCGGGCTTTCTTCATCCTTTATTTGAAGAAATATTCCATCACTACTGACTGCTGTCACTTTACCATTAAAGTTAATGATTGCATCAGAAGAAAAATGTGAAAAATGGAATCAAGAACCGGGAATAACTATCATAGTTCCACATGTGCATCTACATAGATCAATAAATTTGTCTTCTTCACAAAATTATTAGAAAAGAATTCTCCTGGGTTGTGCTAATTGAATAGGGATCAAAACAATGAGAAGAAATATCAATTGAAAAGACGGAAAGAACGGTGGAAGATAATCTAACTTGTAGCCGTATTTTTTTTTTTGGGGAAAAAATGAAAGAAAAATTCCTGTGTAAAAATTTTATTAGTCACAACGTTTTGCTGTGTTTTTACACGGAAAATATTGATACTCTACGAGATTTCATACACAAGAAATAATAGTATTTGAATTCGTGTTCTTATTGTCAATAAAATTTTTGGACAGAAACTTTTCACCAATTTGCTTTTTTTAATGAGATAATATGATATTGATAGGCAGGTAAAAATTATCTTTGAAATTTAATATATGGCTTATTTCCCCCAACCAATGATGCGCGATCATAAATCATAATCATGCGTAAGACTGACTTTTTTTTTTGGGGGGGGTTTTGGTGAAGATGCTTGTTTTTAAACACACGTTCGTACTTTGAAAAACTTATAAAATTTACATTAATTAAATGATCCAGATAGATCCATTCTATTCACAAACCTGTGGAAAATTTGCACAGTACTATTTTTAATTTGGTCCAGTTAGTTAGCAAGTGATGTGCATGTTGCGTAAGCTTTAGAAAAATATATCCATGAGGTTGGAAGTTTGTGGAGAACAAGTGACGGGAAAGGACGAATTGAGGGTTATTTATCACCATATGGAGATGAGTTTGGATGATTAATTAAGATTATAGCAATATATAAGTCATTTATGGGGGGAAAAAGTTTGTTTCATATTGGATGATTAATGCTCCTCCGGTCTTTAATATAAGACCTATTCAATTAATAATTTGACTAGATTAAAAAAGTTAGTTAAGTTAGTTAATTATAAGAAATACTCCTCCGGTCCTTAATATAGGATCCAATTCTTGAGTTGGTTTTGGTTTTAAATATAAGACCCATTTCTCATATTTATCAATTTTCTCTAAATTACACCTACGGATACTCTATCAACCATAATCAAATAGAAGAGGGAGATGTGGTATTAAGAAAGATGATTATGGTTTTAGGAAAAATGTGTCATTTTTCTTATAATTAACTAACTTATCTAACTTCTTTAATTTAATCAAATTAGTTAAATGTGTCTTATATTAAGAACCGGAGGAATATGCCATATTTTTCATAAAACATCATAATCATCTTCTTCAACATCCCCTTTTTCTTTTCTACTTGATCATAGTTGAAAAAGTATCCATAGGGATAATTTATTAATAAATATAAGAAATAGGTCTTATATTTAGAACCAAAATCAACTCAATAATTAAGTCTTATATTAATGACTAGAAGAGTAATATTTTTTCAATTTTATTCCTATTGAGTAAGATAAAAATATGTGAGAGAAAATACACGAAGCATCTTTTTTTAATGTTCTTTTTTTTTCATAGGGGCAGACATGAAAACTTTTATTAGTTTAATGTATTAATTGGTATGTAAGAATAAGGTACAAATACGTTATATATAAATAAATAATTTTATACCGTTTTGTGATGCAGTTTGTTAGTTTAACGCTGACTCGGCCAATAGGGTGAGGCCGGTTGGAATTTGTTAAAAGATGTGAATATCAAGGACAAAGCCACGATCGAGTTATTTGTGACATCGATTCATTCCCCATCGCACCTTTTAATAAGCGAAGCGTATTGTACTTTTATTCTTTTTATACTCAATTATTTGCATTTTTTTAATATATGGTCTTCCACTATGACTCCCCACCCCCCGCCCCAACAAAGAATATGCTACGTGGGATGCGTAGAATTTGTCGCTTTTGGATCTCAAATACTAAAAATTGATATAAAAATTAGAATTAATATAAACTTTTCTCCTTTAATTTATTCATATTTTAATTCTAGTCCCATACGTTTCAAACTATAAGTTTTAATTTTTAAATATTTTTTATTTAAAACATTAGTCCCTATAATCTAATAAAAATTTAGATTATTTTATTCTTTAAAGGATCAAAACTTATGGTTTGAAACTTATAAAGAGTTTTTCAATCATGACTTACAGAATATAAAATAAATACATGAGATGAACGTAAAAAATGCCTACAAAAACTAAAAATAAAGCTCATTAACTTTACATGTCTTCATCATTAATGCACTTGTAAAACCATGTCCTGTCTTTGTTTTCAGGGTTTAGGGTTTTTCAGAAAAATTCTAAAAAAATACTTCTTGAATTTTAAAATGTCAAATAGCCTTGTTTAATACACGTTTATAATAATTGACTATACTTGAAAAGTAAATGGCGACATAATTTTGCAGTAATTTTTTATTCGAGATTTTAAAATTTAAAAAATATTTTTTTGGGATTTTTAAAATTAAAGATCAAGGTACTAATCGATTAAAGTTCCTCATGAGATTCTCCTTTAATGGCAAAAAAAAAAAAGGCCCGAACAAAAATGAAAATAAATTTATCACCTCACCTACAAGAAAAGCTTTTAATGCGACTAGATTAGAGAGTAATTAATCCCACCCTTCCTGTGCATTTGAGAATTTGAAGACAACAAGAAACAATACATTTTTTTTTTCGAGTCTGAAGAAAACCAATTAAAAAAAGAATTAATTGCAATTAAACATTTTCATGGCATGTTTAGGCGCCAAAAAAAGAGAACATTTTCTCGTATCATGGGGGGTTTAAAAAAAATATGCTATTCATAATTAATATGATTTATTTTAAATATTACTTCCTCTAGTCTTAAATAAAAAAATGGATAACTAATTTATAATTAACTGAGTTAGTTATTTATTAAAAAATGTGTATTAATTTTAGTTATTTATAAAAAAATATTTTCTTGCTTCTTTGCAGTGGTTAAAAAAAAAAAAAAAGGAGTTTGAGTGGAGTGGAACAGAAAACGCAGGAAAGAACACACTGTCCTGAAAAGCGTACGTAACTTTGAGGGGGGGGGAGGACAAAATATAGATGGTTTAATAATTTTACTTTATTTTGAAGCAAATGCTTAATTGACTTCGCAACGGTTAATGATAAGCAAAATTCATTTTAAGAAAACATTGATTCTTGATGATAAACATGGACTAGTCAATTATCACACGTATGCGAGCGCACACACTTGAGGCTGGCTAATATAACTCCGGAAAAATCATTATTCTGTGTATAACATAGATTATGTATAGGTTTATTGTAATTTGTTGTAAATAAAAAAATAATAAGTTTATGTGGTCGTTGTGCTTGTGGTTTACAAAGTCAAAATATGGACAGCTTGGGGGGCCACGCTTTCAATATTCACCAACAAAATTAAAAGATGATGTCCATATAAATATGGCAATTTTGTCAACATTCAATAAACGTGTTACATCCAAGTTTTCTTAGATACATTTAGTACAGGAGGAAAAAAAAACTATAAAAAAAAAAAGCTTTCCCTGTCTTAATTTATTTTATGTGGTTATTGTGCAAACATGTAGCGTACCATAGAGAGGCCAATTGAAATTAAAATATACTCTTCCACTTCTAAATATAAGACTCTTTTTATATTATAATTTTACATTATAAAAATAGTCTTATATTTAGGACTGGAGGAGTATTTAGATTTAGATGCTACGAATTTCCTGTAAATTAAAAAACAATAAGGAAGACGATCATTTTTTTTTTAATTAGAGAAACTAACTAACCATCTATGAAGAAAATACCTAAAATATAATTTTAGTTC